AATATAGTCCAAAGAAACGGGACGATGACTTGCTTGGTACCTTCACAGATCGTGACATGAAGCTGAAAGAAACTTTGTGCCTCAATGTGTAGTAATGGAGTGACCTCACCAACACAAACAGTACATTGACATTTAAGAAACAGCATCTGACGATTAGGATATTGAATGATGTACCTTTATATCCATTTATTTTTTTCCAAAATATGAAACAAATCGCTAAATACAACTGGGAATTCAATTTTAACACTATGTCATTTACGACATGAATTGCAAAAAAATAGAAATGTACAGTTTTGTGAAAAAAAAATCTTTAAATAATTAGTTTTTTGGGATTTTTTTTCTCAAAACATAATTTTATTTATAAACTTTTGGGGTAACTTCGCTTTAGATTTATGAGAAAAACAGGAAATGATGGCCATGTTGGCTGCCATATTGGATGTTGGAAAACACTCTAAACATATTCCTGGAACTTTCCTAACAAAAATCAGCATATTATGAGAAAATATCAATGTTTCTTGGAAGGCAAATGTCGGCATTTTGTTTTTCTGGCAGCCATTTTCAAAAAAAGTCAAAATCCGAATGGCCACCGATATTTTTTATTCAGGAACTTTCATGCCAAATCTGATGCTTGTCTCATCAAATCTCTCTAGCTAGGTTCTCCATTTCGTCGTATCAGGGGCGTAAAAATTCCAATAGGTCCGGAATTGGGGCATCACCGTTACAAACACACACATCCGAAACATCTGCCTCTATTCCAGCTGTAGAGTCTGGAGAGAAAGACCCTGTTAAATGGAGATTTTCCACACCTCCAAAGATGCGTTTTTTCTAACATGATATTAAATTATCTTTACGACGACTGTAAATTAGTATAGAGCATCCGCTAACGAAGAAGATGTGGGACACATTGAACACAGGTTGAAATAGGTAAGTTGCCTTGATCTTCTCGCCGGTTTTACCAATAGCTGGAAAGAAGATAATTCAAAACTTTTAAATTGGCTATATTGCTAAAGTAGGCTACACTGGATGGTGTTGGCTTATACCAGTCTAAGATTCCAATTCCGCATTTTGAAAAAGGTAATAGCATAAGATTAGTATTACTGTAAAGTGGTGTGAGGAACTTGGAACTCCTCCCACCCAGGCACTGTAAAAAAAAAGTGGCGTTCGGAGGTGTACATTAGAATATTCTATACAGGTTTTCTTAACTTCAGATCTTCCGAAGTAAATCTCATGGGAATATATATTATATAGCAGTAGGAGTTTGACACTTATTCAATACCAGAATGTAACTTTCAATTTCAGTTCCCAGTTCAAATGAGTTTAAAAAAAGTTATTTGTCAAGGTACATATCAATGAATATACCATCTTTAGCTGTGGCAGTCATAGATCAATAAATCAATAATTTACATGGCAGAAAAGGAATATTCGACCATGTATCTATATCAGTATCATGTAGGTACGATAATGTTTGAAAGCCATGCATATTGGATAGTTGCAGTGGGGTTTCTGGAAAACCTTAGGGGAGGGGGTTGGGGCTTCTTGTTTTCTAGGATTTTTCAATGAAATCACCTGAATCACCAGCCACCATCAGCCGCAAGAATACGCCTAAATTACCGAGCCATCACAGCATCCAACCATATAAACAAGTACCTAATTAATCGTTTTACTCTTCTGAGACACCATAACACCAGAAAAAACGTATATTACTGAGCCACATTCAAACTCGCTGAGGCAACATATTCCTTACCAGACCATTCAACTGACGTGTAAATCACTAACTATACCATCAAACTCGTACCACTGTTCCCTAAGAGATTATCTATCATGAATCAACTAAGTCTATAGAGTTCGTGATGAGGAACATAACCCTATCTTATCAAACTTTTCAATTTGTAAGTTTTACATTAAGTCCGTGTAAGAAGCTTAAGTTGCTTCTTGGTGTTGTGAAAAACACTTCGGTTATAATGGACTTCTACTGATGAAACCCTAATCAAATAAATTGATTTTGTATTTGATAATTGTCCTCTATAATGACTGTCTGATGACTACTGAGACTAGTAATATTCAGCATACATCTTATAAAGTTTAAAGATCGGCCATTCTATTCATATGTAATCTATGTTTATCCACAGGGCGGATGGGTCAAGGAGATGAAGAGAAACTAGAAAACCAGAAGATAATTGTGTCCGTTCGCAAGCTATTTTTAGCATAATCAATCCCTAACCCTTTGGAGCACTTTAAAAACAACAGATCTGGTTTAACCTGTTTACATGGCTGCATTTGACAATTATGAAACAAAATTCACACCAATTTCAAAAAAGAAATTTGACAGGAGCCTGTTTAGTTCAGGCTCAGGTACATCATGTCACGGTTCGTTCCACACTTAACGTCAAAAAGCCAAAGGTTGGATTTGTGAATTTTTCGAATTGGTAAAAATGCATTTTGGAGATATTGTGTTGAAGTTTTTCGCATAAGTGTCACATCTGACAAAAACATAATGGAAAATGGTGAAAGAATTTATCGAGTAATTGGAGAAAATTTAAGTATGCTTTATTGTGTAGCTGACAATCTTGTGTCAACTTCACCTCGAAATAGAACACTTAGCACACATTCCAAGTTATTAATTAACGTTTGACATGGTTTTTTAACCATTGTTTTATCTGGACAAGTTATTGATGTCGAACCCAAGACATCGCGTATAGAAAATAACACAGTCATGACACGCAAAAACAAAAGATTATTGATATTGAAAACAGAAAATATTATTTTGATATTGATCGTGTTGTTATTAATTGGTTCCAGTTTCGATTTAAATATATTTATCCAATATAAATACTGGAGAGAGAAATTCTGATTATTGAAAGCTTTGCAGAGATACATGACATAATTATGAGTTTCTCACGTTTTACTAACACAGATACTAAGTCCTTTATCAGTAAATACTATTTTATCAATATTCCTATATAAAGATTTATTTATGCCCACCTAATAATATCGTCCAATTTCTTTCACGGTTTTTTATTTGGTTCCATCAGATGCCTCTAATGGAATTTTTCGAAGAATAGGAAAGAAAAGATTGATTCTTTTTCTCGAATTTCTTTAAATTTTTGTTGTAAAACCCAAAGTTTGCAACAACAATGCGATTCAGTCACAGAAATAACCCAGCTATACCATTCACAAGGGAATATAAATAATAACAATAAATAGTTCTTAAAACCCATTAACATCTTAGTGCTTTAACAAGTAATTAGAAAAAAAAATATTATAACAAAATACAGATAATAAAATAGCAATTAAAACAATATACATGTAAAATTATAACAATAAACATAAAAGATTTTCAGCTGAATGTTGTCAGTATATTTTTCATCCAGAACTACGAAGAAGGGACACTTTACTTTTTCATCTCATGGAACTTCAGGCACTTGTAGGTATTGATTGATGTGCTGACAGGTTCTAAAACCTCTATCGTGACGATGGTTTCTATTTTATTTCTATGTATAACTTCTAGCGCTTAATGAAGTAAATAACTTTCTTGGTGTGAAAATGTCACGAGAGTCTTGTCAACTAAGTTAAACTTGGTGTGAACCCATTAGGCGTAAGTTATAAATTCAATACAACATGGTATAAAAACAAATTCTGTAAGACAGTTAGCAATAAAAACTGTTACATCAAGGTGCCAAATATATACATGTACATACGATTTTAAATAATATGTCTGACGGTTTTGTCTGTTATTGTTACTCTAAATAATCTGAAATTCATAATGATTTTTCTCCAAATATAGGCTCAAGTTTTTTGCTTGCTTGGTATCCTAGAGGGTCGGAAATTGATCTACGATTTAGGTAAAGTTAAATCCTCTATCAAAATGATCTAATTTGATTTGTTTTTACAATGAGATAATGCCGTAGAAGCGGTCCTTCACTTTATTAGAAACAGATTAACTCAGTTTATTGCTTTTTTGTTGTTTTCTCAATTTGTTTCCTGTTATTCCTATTTAGACGTCCTTGCATATTGTGTTGTCTTGCGTTGCTTGATTCCAATTCTCTGTATTGAATTTAGATTGGCAAATCAGTTACTTTCACATCATTATAATCTCACATCTATACTGATACTGCTATATTAAAGGTTTTCAGAACTCTGTAGCAAGGAAACTTTCGTTATTCATTACCAGTAGGCTATCTATATTTTGTTTGAGATACTTGAACATATTATTACTCATCATATTGACACAAACATACTTAACATTTCCCTTGTGTTCTGGTTGCCAAATATTCATGGTAATAGCTAATACAATTAGAAGCAAAGAGCTTAAATATCTGAAGATAAATATACTCTAGCCAATGCTGTTTGGTTTATTAAATCTAATCTAAACACCATAATGGTCTGTATAGATACACTGGAATGGATATTGATGATTTGGAACAAAACGCCGTTTGTTACAATGTATGCAAGTAAATACCATTACTTAATTAACTTAGCCTTATTAGCCAATGGGGTGGCCAGTTGACCAACTCAATCTCTGTATCATCCACATTGATATTTCACCTAAGGCTTAAACATTCATGAGCAGGTGTCAGACTAAAAAGATATTTCATTAAGTTCGACTTTATATAGATTTAGAAAGCAGAATAACTATATGGATAGCATATTTGCCAATATGTCCACAAAGGCATGAGGAAATATTTTTCATGTGCACATAATATATATTATCTTTACTCGATTTTGAAACAGGTTATTGGCATATAAATGTGGTCTTAAAAAATGTCTTTACGGGTTACCTCCCATGTAGTAAAGATAAGATTATCCAGGGTTGTTTACAACATGTTGGTTCTTGAGATGATTAAAATAAAAATCGACCGATTCTCTCTTGAAATCTTTGTATTATTGATTAGAAATAGAAGACAATGTCTGCCATTCTATTGTCTTTTACCTCAAATTCATCATGAAGCTGCATGCATCTACTGATTTGACATTTCTTGTTGCAATCATTTTTCTCAATAATGGAATGTGCTATGCAAGAAAATCCACAAATAAATCGAAAGATGGTAAGAGTGCTTTTTGGTATCCCCATACAGGTTAGGCTATTGATACTATCGACACATAGGTAAATCGTGTAAATAACTCACTTAGCTAGGCAATGATAACACTGGCAATGTTTATTCACCGAAACCTTTGATTTTGAACAGAACTGCAGTGTATGGTATTTTTGTTGAATATCTCTATTTTCAATAGATTTCAGTTTTCTAGTGTATGGTTCTGTGTGGAAGAAAGAATTGTTTCATGTATCAATTCATGATGAAGATATTAATCAAGCTTACATTGTAAGTAGAAAACCATTAAGAGGTAAGGGGTTTCCTGAGGTCTCCTGAATTAGTAGGCTATGGGAATCTTGGTTATTTGGAGGAGACATTTTCCTGATTTCTAAAGCTTTTGCTAGTTTCCCCTTTGGATTTGTAAATCAAACAAGACAGTGACTCGCATTAAGGCCTAGTACATGTTGGCCTTTTTAAAAAATTAGTGTAAGAAGAGCAATGGTGGTCCATACACCAATAGTCTGATTACCCTTACATATTATTTGTTTCAGTTTTATCTGAAGTATTTAGATGCAAAAGGGGATTTAGAATGTATGAAAAGGAAAGGTGTTTTGGTATTTAGGATTTTGAAAATCAGGAAAAAGGTATAATTTATAAACATAAATTAAAATTTACAATTAACATATAGCCAAATTAATGAGATGGTCGAAAAAAGGTTATCCACAGACACTTTCAAGCTTAATTTTAATACAATATGAAATCATGAATTCAAATACATTCCAATTTACTCAAATCTAAAATTGATGGAGAGAAATTGGTCAAGATTTAGCTTTATTTTCATCTGTTCTACTTGTTAACTTACAAACAGAAATCACATGAAAACAAGTCAGTTTAAAATCAAATCTTAAACAAATTTCGTGATTTCGTGCTATTTTTGTTTAATACAATGCATTTCCATTTTTATACAAAAATCTCTTTACTATGGTCTTTTCAAATTTATATTTTACATGCTACATTTATTCCCTTTCTTATAGATAATACACTATACAGAGAATAATCAAGGACCACTCTATGTTCAAATCAAAGTGCCATCTGGTGTGAACAAGACATTAACAACTATCACAGTTCCAGTTACATTTGGTAAACTCATTTCATTTCACATAGAATGGAAAACCATGACATTTGTTCAGTTTCATAGAGTTGTCATCTCAGAATCCAGGCCATTTCAGTTTCATCTCTATTCCCACACATATGATAGGCACTTTTATAATGCTTTATATCAACCATCAACATGTTCCCAATTTATACAGAAACACTTTCAAACACCACCAGCAGTAAACACTGAACATACAGACACTAATTCACACCCAGTCCAAGATGAAGAGTCATCCTCAATAAAAACTAAAATAGAATTGGAGATTTACAGAGATAAAGTCAATTCTGTTAGTCCAGTTTTATATCAAAGTCCAGATCTTAAGAAACCTGATGAACTTCAAAATGTTAATAATGAAGATACGGCTGACACAATGCGTTCTGTAAAAACAATTGATTCAAAATCTCATGAGGAGGTTACTATTGATAATAAAATATCCAAGGTCACTATAAGGATGAGAAGAACAGATACCAAACCTTCAACAAGTGATGACAAAGTTGAAAAACCAAAACCAGTTTCATCCAAGGATTCTTGGAATCCAGAGAAAGTAGAAAGTGAAATAGGCAGAGATTCAGTCCACAAGAAAACTGATGACAAAATAAATGAAGAGATTGAAAATACAAAATCACAACCTCTTGATATGGAACATGCCATAGATCCACAAGAAAAAAGTAAGGATTACAAACCCCCTATTTTTGAAACAGTTATTCAAAAATCTGAAATGCAGACCTATTGTGATGAAAATTCACTATTTGAAAATGATGACAGTTGTTCTAACATTGATGGTGAAAAAACCAAAACTCCAGCCATCTTCCAGTTTGTGGACAGTAATGGACAAGAACTGGTAGCTATTGATTATAATGACCAAATTATTATTAGAAAAAAGTCTGATATGTGTATGAGAGAGATAAAAGAAACCACACCATTAGAGGTTATAATACCTAATACACAAGACTCTTGTCCTAATTTAACATGGTCTAGTAAACTACAGTCATATTGGATGTGTTTTATAAAAGATAAACCAGGGTTTGGGTGTTGTACTTTGTCTATAATGACTTATAATATATGGTTCTTTAATCCTCTCACTGATAATTCAACAGAATATGTAGAAAGGATCAAACGGGTAGAGAAGGTTTGTAATTTTCATAAATCTACGCGTCAAACATAATGTAATCTGTTCATCTGTTGATTTTCATTATATAAGAAGTTTCTGTAATTATATCCAACATCAAATGGCAAAAGATCAACTTTCAAAGACCTGAAAACTCCTTAACGGAGAATGATATATAGTATGCAATTTTCAGGAATTGTTTTAATGTGCATTTACTGTTCAAGATAGTTATACTCACTAAATTTCTTGATAATTATCCTTTTATAAAACAAGAACATAAACTTTCAGATATTAAGTGAGAATAATGTAGATATTATTGGATTACAAGAAGTAAGATATGAAGAAGGTAAAGGAGGTGAATTAGGTCCTAATCAAATAGAATATATTTCATCAGTTTTACCACAATATCAAGTAAGTTTATGAGTTTATACAGAGCACAATATATTTTCAATGCACAGAATATCAAAGCGAAGAAAGATTACTGCCAATTGATCAAATTTTGAAAAGTCCCCTTTGAATGGTAAACATACTGATACTGTATCTAATTGTCTCAAACCAGAACTTTAGCACTTGGACAAGCGCAATAACTTATCACCACTGACAGACTTGGATGACAGCAACACCTACTGTTCACCCACAGTGAGCTTTAAGATTCAAGTAGGTCACTAACTCTAAAATAACTTTCATTATAGTTTGTTTATCAACCTGCTATGTTAATGCCAACTAGTTTAACCAATGGAAAAGTTGAAGAGGGATTAGCTATTTTAACTAAATATGAAATTCTGCATCATGATTATATTCTACTTTTTAGGTATGTTTTATGTGATTTCTGCAAGTTTAATATGATGTGTGAAAATAAAATTCTGGCATCATGATTTCTATCATTGTACTGTTATGTGATGTCCGTAGTAAATCATTTATCATTCATATGTAAATCTTATTCGAATGTCATCTCTGTAGTGAATCAGTTATTTGTTTTATATCTTACAATAGGAATGCCAGTAACAGTGCTGACAGACATCAAAGAATATGTTTACATGTAGAAATTAATATACCTGGAGTAGGAAGTGTAAGTATTAGTTTTATTTCAATGATTTCAGATATACCTATTACATAGGCAATGAAAGCTTTATCTATTTGAGATGTTTATTTAGTTAATTGAATGTGTATGATATTACAAAAATATCCAATTGATGTGATAGGCAAACATATTTTTGAAAATTGTTCCTGTTATGCTTATATGTATATATATATATCTTTTTTATTTTTATCTAAATAGGTACATGTATTTAATACCCATTTATCATTAAGTCATGAAGCTAGAGAGAGATCTGTCAAACAAATATGGTCATACATTAACACATTTACTGGTCCTAAAATATTACTAGGTGATTTTAATGCTGAACCACAAGAAAAATCAATCAGGTTAGTATTTTGGGGGAAGGATTAGAAACAGATTCACATAAATCATTTCAGTTTTACTGAGATTTACTGCAGAAAATCAGATATCAGTCAATGTTCATTACTGAATTTAGAGAGTCAAAGTATTTTATTTGTTGAATTTGAAGCTGAAGAATACAAGAGCTTCTTCATGTCCAAAAACATTTATCCCTGCATACACATGTATTCCATACATCAAATTGATATTTGCTTTGAATAAGCAGATCAGACAATTTTTAAAATCACTTATCACCTGCTTTTTTATTATTTAGAATAATTTCAGTGTCAATATTTCAGATATTTAGTGGCAAAAAGTAACATGGTTGATATGTGGCCTTATATACATGGTAAAAATAGTCCTGGCAAAACATTTAATGCCAGGAAGAGAGAGAGGAATAAAAGGGTTTGTTAGATTATTATTTCAAGTGCAAGTATCATAATTAATTCTACAATATAATCAAGATAAGTTGTGATTTTGGATATTTCTTAGCGCTCAAGATTTTCTTGTTTTAAAAGTGAGAGTGAGAGTGAGTGAGAGTACTTGTATTGTAAAAATGGTGTAGTAGTGTAATATAATACAGCTCTCAATATATCATATACCTAGAAGAGTTTTTGAGCTACCTTAATTCAATTCTCTTGAATTATCAATAGTTACGGTATTAAAAAATTATTTTCAGATTGATTATATATTTCATTTACAAGAAATAAACACAGAAATATTAGATATACAATTATTTGAAGAAAAAGACTTTGGGTAAGTTTAAAACATCACATTGCTCTTTTATATTGATAAATAGGGTATGTATATACTACAGTGTTCTTATTTAATCTTTATTTTTTAGTCTCTTGAAAACCAAGGAGCCATTTTATTGTAGTAATTTTGATCAAAGGGTTACAATTAGATACTACAAAGATAGTGTACCACAGCCATATAGGCCCACCACGGCATGCGAATGGTAAAAACGAAACATCCATTTTAAGTTTCATCAAAATCGGTTGAAAACTAAGAGAGTAATAGCATATTCAAAATTTTGGGGCAAGGACAATAACTCTGCTTCTAACGGTCGAAAATAGATCTTCGTTTTATGGATATGTATACACGTAACGAATTTCATTTGATTCCATCAAAAAATCTAGTTTTTAGAGTGTTTACAAGCAAATGTTGACGGACGGACGGATGGACAGGGGTGCCGACAATATACGTCCACATAGAGAGATGTGGGCGTATAAAAACTGTTTTGATCAGGTGACTACTGTTTGATGATGATTGTCGGTATGATTGGTAATGTGAAACAAAATTATTGAATTATTTCAAGGGACAGGAGCGAGATTCACGGGAGTAAATCATTCCTTTAGTCTCAGAAACGTGAATTGTTGCACTCATCTAATCGGTAAAAATCTTCACAGCTTACTGTCAAAATTTGTGCCACCAAAGTCCATTTATCAGACTTGAATATTTGAATGTCTGGACAATGATGTCATGTGTATACAGTAGACTCAATTATCCCGTCCCACTTCATCTACGCACAGCTGTGACGGAAGATGTCTTGGTGTCAGAGACTATGTTCAAATTTAGAATACCGCAATTTGTAAGAAAGAAGAAAAGCTGGTGAACAAAATAAATAAAACCTTAAATTTTTTGTTTGATATCTATTTGATGGAATTATGCAGTTTTCGTATAGTTTAAGTAATTCTGAAGACTATTAACAAATATTCAAGGCTACTTCTAAACATAAATAATATATAATTTATTTATTTTTAGGTCAACTGCTGCCTCTGATCATCTTCCTCTATTATCAACAATAGGATTTAATTGTCCACAAAACATTTAACCTTAATATGCTTCTTAAAAGGATTATAAAGAGGTTTTCTAAATTTTCTGGGATATTGTATCTGGGATGCTGATCCAATTTTCAGTCATACATCTGTTTTTCCTGGATTTACACAAAAAATAAGCTTTTGGTGATGTCATAAATCACTAAATATGCTTGTATCACTAAGGCCTTTGCAATTAGTGATGTCATCTAAAACTTAGTTCTAGTGTTATTGCAGGAACCACAGACTGATTAATATTATTTTTGGTTAAGACTTTTCATCATTATTTATTGAAATGATAGTATTTATATGTGAGTTATGACTATAATTTAAGTCTGCTTGTGAATTATGTTGTGATTGGTTTTTTTTTTTTTACTTCATTCATCACTAAACTATATCTGTGATATTTATTGTTTAAGCTTATATTTGCTAAGAGGGTACTGTTTGAAGAGAAAAAAAAGATGATATTGATATTACGATGAATGAAAGTCACAATTATTCTATTATTTTGTTCTTGTTATTCAGTGAGTACTGCTGTTTTTATTTTATCTGTCTTGCCAGAGTTTCACTGACTGGTTGTTTTCTACTTTGTGGATAAAAACGTCATTTGATTGAAGTGAAAATGAATATTGGATGATGATGCACTATGGAGTATTTTTTATTTTGAAATGTTATATGTGATCAAATAATGCTGGGATATATTTTGCTGTTTAACTGATCAATTTGTTATATTTAATATACTTTGAATATTGTTACAGCACCTGTTTTTAACTAAAAAATAATAACTAAAAAAAAAATACACATATCAACTAATATGAGAATTGAGTTATCTAGTCAAGTTCTGCTGAATTAACCAATTTGTTACTGAAATGAACTGAAATTTAATAAATATATTATGAATATTGTTATAGCACCTATTATTGTTTAACATTATAAAATATATATATTCAATTATATAATATAATGTTAAAATGGAATCATCTAGTCATGTTCTGCTGAAGTTATCTATTATTATTAATTATATTTATTATTTAAAGAGATATATTTTTACTATTGTTACAGCACATTGTTTTTCCATTGTTAAATAAAACTAATGTAAAGTATGTTATAAAGTGTATATACAAGATATTGTCTTGGCCTGTGTTAAAAAATGAGTGATCCTGTGACATAGATATGATAGCAAAGCAAGGTGTGCCATTTTGGGTGGGTTGATTTTAGTCTTGAATATATGTAAATTCAGAAGTAATAGAAATGTACCAAAATCAAAATAATTCCTTTAAAAATACTTCAAACTTGCAATTTTACTCACTATTTCTCACATTGATTTGTTGCATAAAAAAAATAAATTATCATTTTTATTATTGATGTAGAGCAAGAACATTACATTACATCTGCCCACAATTTATTAAAAAATGTCTAGGAAAAAAAAAAACATTTATTAGAGATTTTACAAATAAATATACAAAAGCCATGAAATTTCAATAAATATAAAAAAATATAATCTAAAATAAAATCTAGCACTATGATTTCTGGCACAAATAAATATAGGCATAACTTATACTGATCATTATCATTGAGTGTATCATTGTGTATTTAGTTAACATAGAAATGTTAGTGTTAACATGCCTGTATATAGGTAATTCTTATTTTAGCTTTTTTAGAACACACGTGTAGCTCTGTCTAAGCATTTTGTGTCTTAAGTAGTACACAGACAAATGTTTTAACTCTAAAGACATAATCCTTCTTGAATCAGTCCTTCTTGACTATTAACTGGCACATCAGACACCAAACATCATTCTCAAATCATTTAGAGATAATTTCTGTGTTGCTGCACCAGATCTATTAATAAAGTTTTGAAAATATAAAAATTATCAAAAAACATTAACCACTTCACAAATATAACCAGTGGAAATGTAACCAAAATTTCTAGATCAGTGTACATATTACACTCAAATGCAGAAAGATTAAGACAAGCTTTTGTAAAACCTCTTATAAGACAATGGTGATAGTAATAAATACATACCCTGTTAACACATTTTCTGCTAATTGAGTTTTTGTCTTTTGTAAATCAACTATCTTTTCTTCAATAGTATCTTTACAGACATACCTAGAAATAGGATAGTTATGTTCTGTTAAAACATGAATAAACAATATTAGGACTCTTAAAAAGGGTTGCTTGTGTTGTCAAACTCAGTGGTATTTCAAGTTCTGTCAGAGTGAGCATTTCCTGCCTGGCTCAAAACACCTGCCTTAATGTCATAATAAAACTGAAATTCAGTATAGTTTAGTTTAATTTAATTTAAGATGGAGAATTTTTAAAATATATAAACCAGTATAAAACTTACTTATGAATAAATACATCTCTGGTCTGTCCAACACGAAATATTCTATCGCATGCTTGTTGTTCTAGGGCTGGATTCCTAAAATAATCAATAATAATATTTATTTTTCATTATAAGAAAGAATTAATTTACTATTATGTGCTACATATATTACCTATTCATGAAAAGTGAGTTATGCTTGTAGTTTGCACTTACAAATGTCAGACATTTTTCTTTCTTTGCGTCTATGCTACTTAGAAATATTGCAAAAGAAAGGCCATTGCCTTTGATATCATACTCAGACTAATGAAGCTCTCTTACCAGTGTATATCAACTATAAATAAATGATTTCCACCAATAAGATTTAAGCCTACACCACCAGCTCTCAGTGATACCAACATAACCTATAAGTATCCAAATATCAAATTATTGAGCTATAAAAAGCAACAGAAGTATTTATCAAACAATGTCACTTTTTTAGACCCGAATAATTGTAGGCTTCATCTACAAATTCTGAAAAAAAATAGGCACAAACATTAGGAAAACAGGCAAGAGATTGATAAGATATAATAACTAACCTCAGCACCACTAGGATTAGTATTAAAATCTTCTACTAATTCTGTACGTTTTTTAGCTGCAATATTACCCTGTATAACACTAAATGATATACCCATTGTTTGTAAATGATATCCTATAACATCTAACATTTTAGTCCATTGAGACACTATAACACTGAAATATAACATATAACAAATACTCAAAATAAAATCAAATCAAAGAATGCTCATTGCTCTGAGACTGTCTAGAGTTAGATGCCTGCTTCTCAGTGTCAAGTATTCAGAAAAATGGAAGCATGCTCTGACACATTTTGGAAGATTTTATTGAAAAGGAATAGAATTCATCATGAAAACAATCAATGAATTATATATAATAACATATAATCTCACCTTTTCAATGGTTGACCCTTTTTACTTTCCCTACGTATAGATTTAATCTTTTCAACAACAGCTTTCAACTGAAAGGTAAACATACAAAATCAACTTATTCATTAAGACAAAAAATTCTGCAAAAGTTGGCCAGTAGGCTATCTAACTTTTACAGTAAACAACAATATTTATTATTTATAAATCAAATTATTTATTTATAAAATTATAAATCTTGCTCAGTTTCCCTCTTATGAATATGATACTGATAGGAGTGCAAAAATGTTCAGTTCAATTCTAAATTAAGGTTTTTTAAGAGGTATAGGAGTTTTTTTTTTATTGGGACACTGTTAGCTTCAATTTGCATCATTGCAATTTTCAATCATCTGTCTGTGGTTCCTGCAATTCCACTCAAACTTATCCATTGTAATAACCAGTGGATGTAATTTTGTGGGTTTCATCTCTTTCTGAAGAATGTATATATTTATCACTTAAGTGATGCTTACAGTGTTCCCAATACACATAAAAATGTTAAAAAACCAATTAATGGAATTTTAACTCAACCAGCAGGACTGACAATTCATCTAATATTCCAATTATCTGTGTCAAAACCTAAACTTAGCAATAGAAATTAAAAAAATAATCGGCTTTAACAATCCACACATTGTAATTTACCTTAGAACTAAAATGAGAAGGTTGAAACATAAGTTTAAGATCAGGTTTATCTGTTGTTGTAGGTACTGTACTATCAGTTTTACTATCAGAAGTACTATTATCAGATTCTAACAGTAAACCCTGCATCTGTTCTTCTAATGTTAACTCTATATTATCTTTCTCTTCAATACCTTCTAAATCTAAACTTTCATCTTCTAGTTGCTACAAACCAAATTCAAGTTTAACCTATACATTATATTGGTATAGCCAACATCACTTATATACTATCTTTTAGTGTTTCACATAAATAAGAAATCCTTGTTAAAAGACATCTTTTTGTTACGAACAGGTACCAAAACAGAAAGATATGTTTTACAGCTAGCTTGGTCAAACTAAACTGTACAGTTTATTTTACATAGACATTCTGTCAATTTTGTCAAGGACAATAGTAATGTAGGGTATATTTGAATGAATGACTAAAAGCTTGCATTATACAAATATATAATAGAAGAAATGCTGAAATAGACTGACCTGTTTCATTAAACTGAAATGACAACAACATTGTCTTAATCTTAATATTAATACTAATAGTTGACTAGCATTAGTTTTACCATCTGATTGACTAGATAGACCTACTCCACCACTAGTACTTCCTTTACTATCATTTAACTTTAATTTCTCTTGGAATTCTTCTGTTAATGTAGATTTAGAACTAGAATTCCATGTTCCAGCTTCTTTCTCTTCATGGCGTTTTACAAAATTCTGTACAGTAGACCTAAATGAGAATAAAAAAGATAAGACATATTTGCTTATCAGCTGATAAATTTTGATATAGTCTACTTTACAAACTGAGATGTTCTGAAATAACATGTTGTTGAGTTAATGGATAAGAACAATATAATACATCAAGTTTTGTCATTTACTCCTCCTCTTTTACCAACATCAAGCAAAGATGTTAACAGTTAGTGAGAATAAGCATGCCTCCCTGGTTATCATAAACTTGAATGACTTACTTAGTTGTAGCAAAGAATTTATCATATATAGCTCTTTCATATGATGTTAATTCTACTGTGTAGGTCTCTACTGTCTTACTTGGTAATGGCACCTGATTAAAAAAGATTTTATTATCCAAGGTATACTTCTCATATCTGATTTCAAAGAGATAAAAATTATCTATTTTCATGCAATTGAAGTTATTGTGACATTTTATCTTTTCAATTTCAAGATATAATGGCCCTTTGTCTCACTCAAGACTATATTTATGTAGGTCTACAATTCAACATTATAGCTTGGAATAAGCTTTTCCTGAACAGTTTCATTAATCACATTTATAACTTACCAAGGGTTGGCCGTCTTTATTAGTTTGTTGTTTAGTACGTCGTAACAATAGTGTTCTTATAATAGTATTTAGTCTTGTCGTACCTAATTAAATAATAAATAATATACCATACATCAATACTACTAAAACAATATAATATTCTTCAAGTTTTGTTATTCAAGTTCCAGAAAAGGAAAGACTGGAATGTGTATTACCTTTAGAATTATCAACATTTCTCTTCCAAACTTTATATTCATCAAATGGTGTACATCTCAAAAATCTGAAAAAAACAACAACAATATCATTACCACCGTCTAAATAGACTCAAACTTAACAAGCTGTTTAATACATCCCTCAGGCCATAATATAAGCCATTTCATTATTCTATACCGAACCAAGAAATAAACTTGGAAAAAAAAATCTGGCGGAACTTAAACATGCAAATTTTTATTAAATAAATTCATTGTACAACTAACCTTAATAATGAATACATATCTAACAAGTCATTTTGTATTGGTGTACCAGTTAAAGCCCATCTAAATCCAGCTCTTAATTTACATATAGACATAGAGGTTTTACTTTTATAATTCTTAATATTATGTGCTTCATCTAATATAACTCTTTCCCATGCTATACGTAATATATTAGGTTGTTTCTTGGCTGTAGAACCATCTTCCTCCTTATAAAATAAACAATGATAATCAAAATAAGTTTCTTCAATTTATTTCTTTCAACCACTTGGTCCTTAGCCAAATCTATTTGAAATAATATCACCAGGATCATTCATACTATTATAGATAGTAAGTAATAAAGATGACTTTTTCAAGGTCACTAGAATCTTGAACCAAGATAAGAATCAAAGATCAGAACAATCATCTTGACTTAGCAAATGGCAGAAATTTTCCACAACAGAAACCAGATAAGAGTCTGCAAGTGTCAAACTAATATCAGAATATCATCAAATAAAACATAATGAAGAATCACAAGATATATGTCTTATAAACAGTATAAAACATAATGATCTGTATTTCTTTAAATATATTAGTTCTTTTACTTTCTCTATTCACATTTGATTTCTGAAACTAATCACGAGTCTGATGAAGCCCTACCTTTACTTCTTCTTCTTCATCATCTTTCATAGCATTTTCAGCTGATTCTCCTTTCATTATACCAACTTCAATACTAATAATATTATAGGTAGTAAGTACTATATCATTATCAGCTAATTTCAGTATATTTCTCTCTCTATTGGCACCATGATATAATAAAACTTTTAATAAACCACCCTGACATCTTCTCTCTATTTCTTTATGCCATTGATGTACCAATGAAGCAGGACAAACTATTAATGTAGCATTGGATTTCACCACCGATTTACCCACTGAAAACATTAAATTTATATGAAATTCTGTCTTCATCTGCATTACCTTGAATTCACATCAAACATCTGATAGGTATCAACTATATACTTGGTCCCAGTTCACAAATTATCTTATGATCAATTTGTGTACCATCTTAAACTGATGAACTTTAGTGTTATGCAAATGTACAAATTTTTAAAGATATTGCAAATGTAGAAAATATTTTCAATGGGACAATGTTCAGAATTACCATCAATATTTATAGATATATTCAGGTCAATCATCAAAAAGAAACATCAACTTGAATATCTCAAGAAGTTTACATCACAAATCTTTTCTCCAAATTACTGAACTTTCCAAGATAAATTTAAAAGAAAATCAGAGGACAGAGAGAACATTTACTTACATTTTTCAAGTTGTTTATCTCTATTTAACCATGTTGATTGTTCTTCCTTACTACCAGTCTCTCTTCTCTCTCTTTGTTTTAATATCAATGATATAGACGTTAATGTCTTACCTAGACCCATATCATCAGCTATATAAGAGAAATGTCAAAATATTACCTATTATTTCTCATGTTGTAATGACAAAGTAGTCACATTTTAATGTGTTTTGTAGCCATTTTTTAATGAACGACTTTTTTGTTTGAAACTTTGTAATATAACTGTTAATGTTTTAATGAACCTAGCGATCTTTTATAAATTCTCTTACCTAAAATTCCACCAGCAGGATTCTGTCCCTCTCTCCAACATAACCAAGCTAAAGCTTGTCTCTGATGTGTCATTAAATTAACTTTTAAACCTTTGGGATCTTCTAGTTCATCTGTTGATGCAGGACAACTTTCTAATTGTCTGAAATGAAATAACCAATAAACAGTTTAGATTTAATCAAACACAATAGCATGCCATAGAAAATTATCGAAGCTAACTTGAGGACTTTATTACTTCTATTCAAGATAATTTTGAGACAAACAGTAACATTTTCACTATTATTATTTAATCATTAATATTTTTACTAGTAGTGTGAAATGATATTATATTAGAATCTTATCCAAGATACTGGCCAATTATTTTTCACAAAGAAATAAGCAATTTGAGAGAATCTGATATATTTGGGATTTTTTAAATATTTTTTGGGGACTGATATAACCCCAACAAAAAGAGCAATTACACAATAAATTAGTGAAATAAAAATCCAATATAACTTACTTATGTAATTTTTCCAAAGCTTCTTTAGTGACAGTTGTAACTTCTCTTAATCTAGCTGCTGTCATTCTACCACCATATAGTGTCATAGCTTGTGGATTGGCTATAAAATATTATATCATTATATTAAATTATCATTCTAATTAAAAAACTAATTCATCTAGTCATTTCAAGTTTGTTTCACATTGTCTCATTTCTTAAATAAAATTTCTTTTTAAAATGAAACAATGGAGGGAGGGTATATCAAAGATAAGTTATGTATATATACCTGCATACATCTGAGCTAAAATATGAGGTGGTAATTGTTCTGGTTTAGATAATAATATTGTATGGTTACTGCCTGGTGGTGGTGGTTGTGTAACCAATATAGTCTGGTTAGAACCTGGTTTAGATGCCAACATAACTGGTTTAGTTTCAGTAGGACTAGGTAATATAGGTTTAGTTATAGTCTGATACAGTGGAGGTTTACCAGACTGTTCTACCCTATAAACTCTTTGAGTATTACCAGGTTTGGCTGCAAAAAATGAAAGTTATCTGTAAAATCATTCAAAATAAATTCAACTTTAATATGATGCTTTTATGCAATTTTTTTGGCTGTTAGAGTTGCCAGATGAGTTTTTCAGATGATATATTTAAAAAACCCTTATAAAATAAAAGCTCTAATAAAGTTTTAAAAAATCGTTTCTCCTTTTAATATCCTTCAACTCTATGATAGACAATTTACCTCTAACACCAAAAAATCTCATATATAATTCTTTAAACCTACCTGTGTTATGGCCTAGTTTTTGATCTGTTGTCTGTATATATAAATCAAGTTTAGCTATACTTTTCTGTAATTTTTCAATATCTTCCATTAACTTCTTTCCTTTATCTGGTAAACATGACATCTTTACTGAACGAACAACATTCTACAAGACAAAACAAATATTGTGATGTTTATCATACATATTAGTTATCAAGATTTAAGCATTAAAATTGTGTTCCATTATCAAATATAATTTCTACCTCTAAATGTTACTCCAAAATGAAAAAAACCACGAAAATTATCATCAATACCTTTTGTTTCTCTAATTGTATGTTTAATTCCTGTCTTTGTCTGCGAGCTGCATCTAAATTCTCATCTAAAAAAATAACAAAACATTGGAGATAATTTACACATAATTTATTTTTTATTGTTGCAGTCTTATTCTTCAAGTTGATTAAGAAAGTTATGTGCTCAATTTAATGAAAACTTCAATAGATCAATATCTTTAAGAATAAGTCCCCTTATGAAAGTTTTAATGAAAGTATTTATGTTTTGAGAAGGATAAAACTATTTAAAAAGTTTACAAAATCAAGAAGTATCACCCCTTTTAAAACAAATTCAGGTTGATCAACTAAATATATGGAAAAAATTGGCATATTTTCGAAATATTTTCATGCATAATTAAATGTTTTTAATAATGAATATTTTGCATACCACCACTTTAAAAAAAACTAGTGAAAATAAAGTAACATAGCATACCATCTTCATCATCTGAGCTGACAACTTCAATAACCTCTGCTGTTAAATCTTTAACTTTACTACGATATGCCATTGGTGAACTACTTAATGTGGCTTTATTAGTATCAGTAGTTTGTTTTGGTGCTTTACGAGCCAAATCTCCAAAACTAGACTCAACTGTTAACTTTGGTGCCTGTGAAACTGGTTTGGATTCCGTTCTCTTTTCAGTAGATAGCACATTTTCTTTATTATGAATACTACTATGGCTACCAGTTTCTGACATTTTAGCTATTAGCTTATCACTTTCACTGGTGTGATTGTTTGAGGCACTAGTACCATTCTGAGATGAAGAGTATTTAGATGTTTTATTCTGATAAGATTGTGGTAAGGAAAATTGAGCAAATGGAGATGCACTAGTATCCTACAATAAAGAAATAAAAAATCTTTAATCTGTGTAACAAATCCAGGCACATGGAGAGAGATTTAAGCTTACATCATAACCTTACCTGGAAGATCTCAATGAGTAAGGCAAATTGGTACAAATAGAGGGTTATTCTACTAATAACCTTGCCAAAATTTTGAAATTCATCATTTATCTAATCCAAATAACTTATGCTCTAAACTTGGTGTGAGTCTTTGTTTTAGGATAATGTATGAAAATTGAAGCCAATTATATCATGTCCACATAGAGAGATTCACATACATAAAGGGAGAACAGACAAATTTCATGATAAAATGATTAGTAAACTTACAGAGGAAGGTGTATAATAACCACACCAATTAGATTTACTACCTTCTTCATTAACCTTCCCTTTACATCTATAGTAATAACTGTAATAAATAATATACACTATTAACCTACTCATTACATCTATAGTAATAACTTTAATAAATAATATACACTATTAACCTACTCATTACATCTATAGTAATAACTGTAATAAATAATTTACACTATTAACCTACTCCTTACATCTATAGTAATAACTGTTAACTTACTCTTTACATCTATAGTAATAACTATAATAAATAATATACACTATTAACCTACTCATTACATCTATAGTAATAACTGGTAACCTAATCTTTACATCTATAGTAACAACTGTAATAAATAATATACACTGTTAACCTACTCATTACATCTATAGTAATAACAGTAATAAATAATTTACACTATTAACCTACTCATTACATCTATAGTAATAACTGTTAACCTACTCTTTAAATCTATAGTACTAACTGTAATAAATAATATACACTATCAACCTACTCATTGCATCTATAGTAATAACAGTAATAAATAATTTACACTATTCACCTACTCATTACATCTATAGTAATAACAGTAATAAATAATAAACACTATTAACCTACTCATTACATCTGTAGTAATAACAGTAATGAATAATATAAACTATCAACCTACTCATTACATCTATAGTAATAACAGTAATAAATAATAAACACTATTAACCTACTCATTACATCTATAGTAATAACTGTAATAAATAATAAACACTATTAACCTACTCATTACATCTATAGTAATAACTGTAATAAATAATTTACACTATTCACCTACTCATTACATCTATAGTAATAACAGTAATAAATAATATACACTATTAACCTACTCATTACATCTATAGTAATAACTGGTAACCTAATCTTTACATCTATAGTAACAACTGTAATAAATAATATACACTGTTAACCTACTCATTACATCTATAGTAATAACAGTAATAAATAATAAACACTATTAACCTACTCATTACATCTATAGTAATAACTGTAATAAATAATTTACACTATTAACCTACTCATTACATCTATAGTAATAACAGTAATAAATAATTTACACTATTCACCTACTCATTACATCTATAGTAATAACAGTAATAAATAATATACACTATCAACCTACTCATTACATCTATAGTAATAACTGTAATAAATAATTTACATTATCAACCTACTCATTACATCTATAGTAATAACAGTAATAAATAATATACACTATCAACCTACTCATTACATCTATAGTAATAACTGTAATAAATAATTTACACTATTCACCTACTCATTACATCTATAGTAATAACTGTAATAAATAATTTACACTATTAACCTACTCATTACATCTATAGTAATAACTGGTAACCTAATCTTTACATCTATAGTAATAACAGTAATAAATAATATACACTATCAACCTACTCATTACATCTATAGTAATAACTGTTAACCTTCCCTTTACATCTATAGTAATAACAGTAATAAATAATATACACTATCAACCTACTCATTACATCTATAGTAATGACTGTAATAAATAATTTACATTATCAACCTACTCATTACATCTATAGTAATAACTGTAATAAATAATTTACACTATTAACCTACTCATTACATCTATAGTAATAACTGTAATAATTTAAACTATTAACTTTCTCATTACATTGATATTTCTAACATACATGAGCAGGTCATGATGTGACTCTAACATTAACTATGGGGTAAAAAAAACTACTGTACATCTATATGCTTTGAAACATATTTTTTAGAGTAAATCTTGTATAACTATTCATGATGTCAAATAATTTTCTATTTTTTAACCTGACATACCTCTTCCCATTAGAATTCTTATGTATGGCTTGTAAATACACCATTTCCTTGGAATGCTGAGGACAAACTCTTGCTTCAATGCTGAAAAATACCAACAAAAAGATCAATGGTATCTTTCTGCACATCAGAATTTATCTCATGCACAATACTGGCTCCGAGCTCCCTATTTGTAACTTACATGATTGACACTGTGGCTCTGACACAATATATGTCCACCTTATGTCAGGCATCTTCAAACAAGTGTGACTGTGAATCCAAACCAGCATCATGTTAAGTTATTTAAAACATTCATGCACATCAATTATGAGTCCTGTAGGCTTACACATGCACCATGCACATATATTAGATGCAACAATAAAGATTTTACACATTAAGCATTACTCACTCTGAAGGTTTTGCAAACTGGCATTTTTCTTTAGCATGTGAGCAAACATAAAAGCTTTTCCCTTGGTTTGGACCAGGTTTTGTACCTGTTTTCAAATAGCACTGTAAGTCTAAAATATGAAATAATGTTATACAAGTACTCTACATGTTAAAAAAACATTTGGTATTGAACTCTGAGATGCTGGGTATAGCAAATCATGCCACAGTACATAATGAGTTTAAAAAGATACAATACATTATGTATTGTATATGCAACTGGACAAAAATTAACACTTTATCTTCAAACTTTACAGACTTATTTTACAACTGAAGCTTATAAGCTCTGTATAGATCTTTTCATTTCTTTGAATTTTTATGATCAGGTTAGGTGGATTAGAGGTAAATAAATAGGTTTTTAAGGGACAGGTGCAGCATTTCAAGGAGTAAATCATACCTTGGTCTCAAAAACGTGAATTGTTCTGCTAAACAAATCAGAAATAATATTCACAGCTTACAGTCGAAATTTCAGTCTTCAATTCCAAATGTACAGTCAAGTAACCTAATTTTTGTGCTAACCTATTTTTCATGCATCTCTGGAAATGATAAAGAATTTACATGTGCGACCTTGCATGACCTCCGCATTTGCTTGTTTTGATAAACATGGGTTCTCTGTACAATGTCAGCTAGCAGAATGAATCCAGTAGTTTCAAGCAAGGTAAAATGTATTAATGTTTACTTTGGCAAATACAACATGACGGATTTCAAATGTCACATTTTTTTTAGGGATTATAAGGAAATTCCGCCGTTAAAAAATTGTGACACTTGGTAATAACTGAAATCCGCCATTTTGTATTTGTAAAGTGTTGTCTGCTAGAATGTAGTCCAAGGAAATAAGTCATGTGACAAACTGGCGGATTCTGTGTCAGCAGAAAAATTCTATGGAACACGAAATGGTCCATATTCTTATGATGTTTCAACGACTTTTAGCAATAAATCACGCTATGTATCTTATTTTGTCAGTCACTATTTTTTTTGAAAATCGTGTCTCTTTGAAGGAATTGTCACTAGTTAGTTATAATGAATTGATATTAAAGATAAATACTAAGAGAAGTTAATTATACCACCCGGTATCCCTACAACGTGTTTTTCTAGACTTATTTATAGATCAAACATTGTACACGAAAATAGGTGGAGCATTCTGCCGTCGTTGCCGAGTTGGTTGCTCATGAAATATGGGTCAAAGTGAAGGATTCATAAAGAAAATCAAAATAAACCCATTTTAATTATTTTGTAGAATATCTGAGGAAACATCTAAGACATAAAAAAAAATTTTTATCTTTGACGAAATTCGGTGTTGAACCCTAATATCCACGAAAATAGGTTACACCATTGTATCCACGAAAATAGGTTACACCACTGTATAATTTGGATCGTGTAATATCGATACACGACGCTATACATAGAAAATTAAAAGTCAAATACTTACTATGTTCCGAACATCGCACACTTTCCATGTTGAATCGAAGGCGTAGAAGGAGTGTATTTATCTCTATTAATTTTTATATCATGTCTGTTTTTACTTCTACCGGAAGTTTACACTAGATTTTAAAAAGAGGAAAAGTCGCGCGGTTTCGTTTCGTATTTTGCAGTCTTGATTATCCGGTATCTTCAATGGATCATACTTCTTCAGACCATTTTGTACATTTTGATGAAAATAGAATATAAAAAATAATTGATCGAGATTATTGTCTCACCAATATTTGATAGACGACAGTGTAACACTAACAGTTTGGCATTCTAACCTAAAAAACCCCAAAACCATAGAACTGTATTCTGTGCAAAAACAATTACATAGTTGTTTCGGCCATAGGACACTTCGTCCCACGATTATCAAGTCACTTCAGAGTTCTGTGGCCCCATTCGACCCCCATTGGGATGCCATTTAACTATGGGTGAATTGTTTATAATCATATTAAAAATACCTAGATAAATACACTGATTTAGTTATAAAGATATTGATAAAAGATAGCTTGCCAGGCAAGTTAATATACGCCTACTGGCGTAATATTTCCAAGTTTTGTGAAAATCCGACTAGAATCGTGCCTTTTAGTGTTTACGAAATAAAAATTGAAAGCGTTTTCAAGAACAAGGACAATAACTCATATTATATTTTTTTTTTTAGATTTTTATTATTTTCAATAGGGTTCATCATTAGGTGACAACAAACTCTCACACCAGGTTTTGTCAAAATCTGTCAAGAATTGTCCATTCTAGAGTGTTTTCAAGAACATGAGCATTAACTCATACTTAATAATTTTTGTTTCTTCTGATTTTATACGCCCATATGAAATGGGGGGCATATATTGCCGTCACCCATGTCCGTCCGTCCGTCCGTCCGTCGGTCCGTCCACAATTGCTCGTAAACACTCTACCAGACACAATTCTCGACCGATTTTGACAAAACTTAGTATGAGTGTTCGTAATCACCCAAGGATGAACCCTTTTGAAAATCAAAAAAATCGAAAAATATTTAGTATGAGTTATTGCCCTTGTTCTTGAAAACGCGTTCAATTTCTAGCTCGTAAACACTCTATAAGAAGGGACAATTCTTGATGGATTTTAACCAAACTTGGCATGAGTGTTCGTAATCACCCAAGGATGAACCCTATTGAAAATCAGAAGAATTGAAAAATAGTTAGTATGAGTTATTGCTCTTGTTCTTGAAAACGCGTTCAATTTTTAGCTCGTAAACACTCTAGAAGGCACAATTCTTGATGGATTTTGACGAAACTTGGCATGAGTGTTTGTTATCAACCAAGGTTAAACCTTATTGAAAATCAGAAAAATCGAAAAATATTTAGTAAGAGTTATTGCCCTTGTTCTTGAAAACGAATTCAATTTTTACACTCTAGAAGGCACAATTCTAGACGGATTTTGACGAAACTTGGTGTGAGTGTTCGTAATCACCCAAGGATGAACCCTATTGAAAATCAGAAGAATTGAAAAATATTTAGTATGAGTTACTGCCCTTGTTCTTGAAAACGCTTTCAAATTTAGTTTTTAAACACGAAAAGGCATGATTCTTGCTGGATTTTGACAAAACTTGGTTTTATTATTCAGTCCCGCGCTGAAGATTGAATATTTTCAATATTTTCGCGAGCTAAAAATTGAATACGTTTTCAAGAACAAGGGAAATAACTCGTACTCGATATTATTCAGTATCGCCCTAAAGAGTTCAAAAGAAGTGTATGACTGAATGTTGAATATTTCATACTGGTGATTGTAACTGTACTGCTAAATATTTTTATTCAAAATCAAAGCTGCCAGTGGGCGTATATTACCATGCCTGGCAAGCTTTCTTCACTATAGCGATCATTCTTTGGTGATAACTTTCGTTTCAAACAAATTGAAAAAAGTTTTTGACCAAAAATATTGGTGTCAGAATACACCAAGGGAGAGTCTTCTCAGGAGTCTGGTGCTGCCTCTGTAGGCCAGAAGTGTCATTTTGTTAAAGGTGAAGTGTATTCAAAATACAATCTGTATTGAACACCAATGACGGCGAAAATTGGCTACGATAACTTTAAGTGGTAGAGTATCGTCCCACCAAAGGGCGATAGTGACGGATAGGCTACGATAAATGGGTACCATCCCACCATAGGGCGATAGTGACAGATATGATAAACGATAGATTAAAGTCAATACATATCCGCTCAAAACTTGATATTTATTTAGAATCTGATGAATGACATTCATCAAAGATATATCAGAAGTTACTGACTTTTGTTTAAATTTGCCAATCTTTGTTGTCTTAGTCGTTCTCGTCTCAATCTATTTCTTCTCATTGCATTCAATAAGTACGAACTACGGTTTGCATTCAACCTTCTCCGTTTTTTATTTCTTCTTTCACTATCCCTTCTCAACATTTCTTCATAAGTTAAACCCTCAGAGGCCTTTTTCTTTTCTTTGGTGGAGGCCGCTTTTGTGCTCTGAACAGCAGCTGTTCCCTTACTCAACTTTTTTCTCATCTTTCGAAGTCTCCTTTCGTGATTCTTTTTAAACATTTCTTCATAAGTTAAACCGTCAGAAGCCTGTTTCGTTTCTTTAGTTGAGGCTGCTTTTTTGCTCTGAACAGCAGCTGTTCCCTGACTCAACTTTTTTCTCATCTTTCGAAGTCTCCTTTCGTGATTCTTTTTAAACATTTCTTCGTAAGTTAAACCCTCAGAAGCCTGTTTCGTTTCTTTGGTGGAGGCCGCTTCTTTGCTCTGAACAGCATCTCTTCCTTTACTCAGCTTTTTTCTCATCTTTCGAAGTCTCCTTTCATGATTCTTTCTTATCATTTGCTCGAAAGTAAATCTCTTCGTAGCCTGTTTCTGTTCTTTAATTATGGCTTGTTTGCCAACGCTTCCAGAAGCTGCCCTATTTTTATCTACCTGAGCAGATGCCACTCGCGTTTTCTTTTTCATCGTTTGCCTCCTTCTTGCACCATTGTATCTCAACCTATCCAATAAGGACATGCCCTTTTGTGACGAATTGTTTGAGATGGAGGATGGTTTCTTAACACTAGTTGATTTAGCGGATGCCTTTCTTCTCTGAGCTCTGGCTAACTTTCTTCGCCTCGCTCTATTTATCCTCATTATTCTTGCAATATTTAGTCTTCGTTTTCTTTGTGCTATGTTTTCAGGTGGTGGTTCCACTATTTTAGCAGGTGTTGTCAGCTTTATCTGTTGTGGTGGTTGTATTGTAACAACTTTACTCTTAACTACATTCTTACTGATATGATCATAAACAGGAACCAATTTAGTCTTGACCTTCTCTTCACAAGTTACCAAACTTCTGGTGAAGAGTGATGTATTGAAGTCAAAAATAACCTTCCGACAACTTTCAGCTCTTTGACAATGAGTTTTAGATCTGAAAAAAAAAATAACGTTAGTAAAAATTTGATTTTGATTTGAAATTTAATTCGTATTACTGCCATTCTCGGTGGAGATTTTCTAAATGTGGCTGTTTATCAGAAATGTCTGGCTACTACTTAAAGAACTGTTTGTTATACACATGGTTGCTCAACAGTTGATTTCTATGACGTAAAAATTGGATTCCAAATCAACAGATGTATGACTTTAGCGTCTTGACCGACCAGTATAAGCTTATTGCCACAACAGATGAACGAGAGTCAAAAATTCTTACTTGGAACAGCATGTTAGACGACCAACCATACATGTACAATCTATGTTACATTCTCTTACTGATCGACCTTCATGAAAATTTTCATTACGGAATGAACAGACACTCTTGGGTTGGCGATTAACTGAAAAGGATATAGAAATATACAAAGTAAATTGTAGGCCTATAGAGGAAGAGCGCGGCACTTATTTGGCTGCTTTGTCATATTTCAAAAATTGTCATGAACGAGTGATATACCCGCTTGGAAATAAACTGACATCCAGAGCTGTGCATTTTTATTGTAATGAGATCCTAACTAGCGTGTGCTCATTGTATGAAGGTTTTGACTGATCTCGCGTATGCCCGTACTTCCACGACAAGATTTATAATATCAAACAAATTTGATTATGATTATTGTCTCCAATAGTCTGCAAGACAGACTTCCATTATCCTTTCAGATTCCTTTATCTTTTAGATGCATGTTGTCTTTTCGTGTACCCGTGCTATAGTCGCCAAATCTCAAGACATAACTCTAATCGGCGACATCAGTCTCCGACCAAGACCGCTCGTGTGCCCAAACATTTACTAATTTAATCTGTGTTGTTGAATCCGGGAGGCCTTATCAATACATAGTTTTAAATAACGGAACACAACTCTATACTATGGTAGACTACTCCTTAGTTTTATTACACACATATATAGTTTACACCCCTTTGTCGGAAAACGAATCTCAGTAAAACGTATTTCAGGTCAGGATGCACATTGAGTTCGAATTGTTTTGCATTATGGTGGATTCATTAGTCTTTTTTTTAATAAACTGCAACATCCAACCCCCAGGACTATTTGAATGGCATGTTCACTGAAGATTACGTCACTCCACGTAATGACTACAAGTGCTTGAAAGTGTTAGAAAAAAGAAAGTCTAGCTCACTGGTTTATGAACGGACCGAATCTTGTAGGCACGAGTTTTTCCTAATTATTTAATGTTTTCAAAAAAAAAAAAAAAACAAAAAAAACACCCAGAAAATGACTCCGTGTCGGTTTACAAGTCAGATAAAACACTGCAAGGTTTTTTTAAAAATGTTAATGTGAAACTTTGGGTGTCAGTTTTGTACTATTTGGACAAGGATTATTGCTGATGATTTTGTGGATCAGTTTTACAGGATCTGAAGTGATTTGGTTTGTAGAACTATGGTGATCCCTGTTGATTGTACACATACTTACAGGCATACGTTACAGAAAACGCTGAATTTGACTTGTATCACTCTACATAATTATGAGTTTGTCATGTATACTTTTTAATTTTGAATGACTGGTAGTGATAATAATATGATGGTGATGCAAATATCAATTACAAGTAGCATGATACTTGTCAAGTTGGATATTTCTAAACTACTTACATCTGACATATTAGTAATACGACTGGAAGACTGATATAGCTTCCAAGTGGGGTTATGTTACTTTGACTTACAGACTATCTTTCTAATTTAAACTAACAGGAATGTGAGGCTAAACATACAGACCATACAGAACCAGGTTGATTTGGAGACATGATAATACTTACTGGTAACGACAATATCCAATTCATCAATAATGCAATCTGCAGTAATCAAACATGGACACCCAATACACAACAGCAGTAAAATAAAGAATTTCATTCTGATTACAGGTCTAAAAATGAATTTTGACCAAATGCTTAGACCTGCTGTAAATTCTTTTTGTATTCCTTGACGATTTATTTTTCTACATTGTACGTACAACTTTGTCAACTTTCTAATGACAATCTTGTCCACGTATTAATGTGTCTCTTGTTTTAACTTAAGTCTTTATCCAATCAAAGCTTAACCTTCTGTTGTTGTTTATATATATCGTAATATTTGATTAATTTCCCCATTTCAAATACAAAGTGAAATTTAATCACGTTACAGGTCTCGTTAGTCGATAAGATCGATTTCTTTTTACAGGAGGTATTTTATTAGCTGAATTTGTAATTCCCTTATTTTCAGTAATCGTACATCTCGGCATATTTAAAATTTCATAAAACATTCCAAACAAGGACAGATATCAATTTAGCGCCAATAGATTTTTGGTTTACAATCACTTTGACTTCATAATGATGACATATTAGTAGAGAGTTAGAGGGATGGTACAGCGAGCTTTGAACGATATTATCGTGTTCAAACTGATACAATGGCATTTATTGCGAGTTAAAAATACCCTTGTAACATTTTGTAATAAAACAAGAAATTAATTTAATACTTTAATTTAGTGCAAATTGACCAAAAAGTGCAGTGGTAATTTAAATATCAAATTATCAAACATCAACAATCAGTTTCTTTGACTTTAATATCATCAATACCAAAACTTCCCCACCAAAATTTCAACACCGTCTCAAAACTCAACTGAAATAAAGATAAACAATCAATTTGATACATTTCTTTTGCTTATCTTGAAAACTTCATAAGAAAGTCATCCACACACAGAAAAATCAAGCCTAACTACAATTAATATATTGAGCTCATCAGCTAAAGTTTGAACATTCATGTCTCAAAGACAACTTTTCTTAGTAAATGCAAGAAAGTGAAATTTACAGGCATTACAACATCCTTTCTTCCAAATGTGTCAACATTAATGTTTCCGAATTATCCGTAACCCTTTTCACCAGGTTCGACCTAAATGTTTGGAACCTAATATTATTTATAGAATAACAGTTCTATGGGTCCAGAAAACGGGATTAAAATGAAATTTGATAAATACCTTCATATTACCAGTTACTGTTATAGGTATTTCATATAACTTCCATCTTATATTCTGTAGACCATATTTATCAAAACTCCAGATAAGAGTTTTATCGCCATTTTCATCTACTATATTTATTGATACGTTACCAGTAGAAAATCCCCATACATAGAAATAGAACTCCAGACAATTCTCATTATTCTTCAATAATACATCCTTACTAACAGTGCAAGCTTCACTACCACGTCTCTGCATTAAAATCCAAGAAATATTATGACATGCACATTGCACATTGCACATAAACATAAAGTAATTTAAAAGGTAATTGTATTAAGATTCAGTTTATATTCAATAAAAATACAACTCTCGGATATCACCTAGAAAGAGTTGAATAATTACTGGCAATAATATTACGTCATTCTTCTCAAAAATATCAGAATCAATCTCAGACATTTCATAAAGTTGATAAATATGAAAATTTAAGATTTGCGACGAAACTATTGGACAGGTTATCAATTATTAATCACCAACATAACTACCTTGTACATTCCATTTCTAACAAGAAAAAAGTTGGAACCATAATCATCTTCAGACTTTCTATGACCATGATTGGGACCAAATAAAGGATATTTGGGCATTCGTTCCCATTTCATAGTATAATAACCATAACAATCATGTAATCCACACATATCGGATTCAAAATCACACTTCCATAGAACCAGATCTAAAAGTGTTCAATTAAATTGCACCATTAATCATTACAGTTGTTGAACTATTCTTGTCATTAAAGAAAAATATGTAAAACAGTAAAGTTTCTTACTTTCAACATTATTTTTAAAAATCTCAAGAGTAGGACGTAAAACTCAATTTCATTTCTTTTAAAATACATAAATATGTCGAATTTTATTATCAGCAGACCATTGCTCTCACAATGAAGTAATGATTCTACCTGCAATCTCACCTATTGATGTTCTTTTAATCTGATAATCAAATTTAAAGTCTCTTGGTAACGGGGAAGAAAAAGGAATTTATCTAGATCTATGATAAATATACCATACATACCATTATTTGAAGTGGACTGGTCACTAGCACTGACATCATTAACACAGATACCATTAGGTTCTAAAGTTATCTTACTTAATACTACCAAATTATACTCTTTCAGATTTACTGATATAGACAGCTGAAAAGAAAAGCGAATGGCATTAAAATAAAAGTGAAAAATAAAAGATAGTAGCTTTTTCTTTTCGGAAAGTTGAAAATAGGATCGGCCACCAACTAATATATATATTGTGATATATTTTCTATTACGCGTTGATTGATTATTCAAGGTAGATGTTTCCAATACCGTGACTTAATGTACCTTAAATTTGGTTGTTTGGTTGACGTTGACACAAACTGATCTTAGTGTATCAGGATTCAGTTTGTCTTCCCACAGTGTTTTTGATGGTGAGCTAACATCAGATGACTGTAATACTACACTCAAATCACCTAATGGTGAATAATACTCAAAACACAGACACCAATTACCAGCTAGAATTAAATAAAATCGTGTTAGCCAGACCATTCTGCGAAGCTTTTATGATAAAACATAACATACCAAACAGTGAGAAGTAAAGCTGTTCAAGCAAGAAATTCTGTTAATTCCATCTCGTGGTGTCATGAAGCCTATCTTACTCAGGATAGAGTATAGATTGGTATATATTGTAAAATATGAATGTTGTAGAAATTAGTATTACCTTTAATGTCAGCGCTAGTGAGTAAACCAGTTTGTGTTGCTGATGTTGAAGACACTGGAGAACTTGCTACTACATACCTTACATCGGTTTTGTCATCACTACGATTAGTTCGTAAACTTGGTATTTGCTAAAAGAAATATTTATTATTCAGAAAAAATAAATACCTTTTGTTCAGTGAGTTCGCTTACGTCAAACATATACGCCTGAAACTTGGGAAATTTAACCCCTATTCCTAAACGTAGCAATCAGTCCTGCATGGTGCAGATGTAGATTTTGAACACAAAACACTCATCAAAAATATGAGATGAACTCTTGTCAATTAAAATCTGATGCAAAACATAAGCATTTCTCAAGAAAAGGTAAGTCTAATAAACCATAAAAATCATACTTCCAAAAAATACTGCTCACCCATAATACTTACATCGATTATCTTCCAAACTAAATCACTAGTCTCTTCAAAATAAAATGGACATTTCTCAGATTTAACAAAAGTACATTGTACCATTCGATCTGTAAAAATTGTAAAATTTGGTAATGATGACCTGAATGGTGGTATAGATTAATAGTCAAACCAACGCCATCGGTGTCTGTGTTTCTAATTGTGCGTTCAGTGGCTCAAATAGAGCCCCTGAACTTAAGTTGGTTGGGGCTCTCACATTTATTCTTATTCACCTCTTATACGCAGGTTTTATTATTATTACAGATAATGGCACAAATGATGATGATTTTACTTGCAGTGTATCCTAACGTTATTGATGTTGCTGATACTAATTACATTGGTGAGATCTGATTTAACCTCAATGGTATGAATGATTTAACGTTAACATTAACGGTAGTATTGATGATGGTTATCTGATCAGTAATGATGATGGTTTTCTTGATGATAACGGTAATGAAATGAAGAGCCTAACAGAATTGATAATGCCATAATATTGTTGATGATTGTTATGTTCAAGTTATTGCTCGGGCGGAGAACTGGAATAATGCAAAAAGAAGCTTAGGTTGAGTCGATAAACATATCTATAATATATTTAAAAATATTACCTATTGGTCCTTCAGCTTGAATTACCATATTGAACCCAGTATGTCTATATCCAACACTAGTAGTTGTATTCATAGTAATAGTAATGATATCGGTATTTGAGGTAATATTTACTGGTATAGAAGTGTAGCCACAGTATCTGTAAAAGAAACTCTTCACTTGTCAAAACAAAGATAGCAGAAATCATGGAAACCAAAGGCTGGTATAGTGGTAACATTTCGGTTGTGTGCTTAGAATAATATAAGCCACTTTGGCATAAATACAAAAAAAAATATTGAAAACAATGTCAATGGTAGTTATAGGCTCAAAAGAACCAAGTCTGATGACTGCTCACAAACGGACCTCCGATTGAACATGTCTGACATATTATAAATTATCTTTTGCATGAGTGTTTTAGCTGTCTGTAATATTTCGTTTCTTGAGTGTCTCTTTAAAGTGAATGAAAGGAAAGATTAACCAGATTCCACCAGATAGCAAGTATAAATCTGGATATTGAAGTTTGATAAATTAAAATTCAGGAAGTGTAAAAGATATTAAACTTGGTTTAACTCAGTTGATAGAATTTAGTATTTAGTTTTATCAGTTATTGACACTATAAAGTCATTTGACATTTCGATAAACAGAAACTAGGATTCTACCAAATTCCCCAGGCTTATTGCTATTTTATAAAATTTGCTATTCGTATAATAAAACTTGAAGGTCAAAACTGCTGCGATGGGACTCCTCAACACTACATCATTTCATGATCTTATTTTTAATTGGTGGTGGTGAGGGGTAGGAATTTATTTAGAAAGTCAAAAGAAAATAACCAGTTTTCTTCGAGAACATATTTGAAGAGAATGATAATTTCTTTTACATTCAGGGGAGTTTCCAACGCCTGTTGAATTTGTTTAATACCAAATGGATTTGGTACATCAGATTTTAGTTTAAAAATGAACTGGGATTCTCGCAAAAGTATAAACCCCATCACTTACCTTGGCCCCTCTTGACCTACATGGGAATACCTAACTTCTAACCAGTGTATACAAATATGATTCTTAGTATCACTTGGTAAATTAAGCGTTAATTTCATTTTTAAAGAATTTCCTGCTTCAGCCTGAAAGTGTATCAGGTAGTATTTTGACAAGTACGTGAAGGACAGATTACAGAACAATTAGTTTGAGAAAGGGCATTTGTCTCTGAGAGGTGATCAGTGTGAATAGAGAATAGTGCAATCAAGAATCGAGGTAACAGAAGCCTCTTTAGTGCCTTCTATTGTAGCTTGGACATCCAAATTTCTGTCATCCAATGCAAATTTTACCAGGTTTTATTCTGTGTTTTAATATCAAGTGAATTTCTAGATTCCAGCTTTCGGTGTTGGTTAACACATCACTATGGGCGTCAACAAGAAAGAATCCATCGTTTCTGAATTAATTTTCATATCTACAATTTGAAAATTGAACATTTATTGACTATTCGTTTCCAAAGCCATGCCATCTCTTTAAGCCATTAAACCAATGATTCTTGGGTGAACATTGAACGTCTGAGAATTAAACTAGTTAAAGATATTTACCTTCACTAACCAAAAACATTCAGATTGAGAATTCCTTCTGGAATATTTTGGCGAATTTATCACAATTTTCTCACCAAATGTTAAATCAAATTTCTGACTACATTCTAGAAAACGAGAGAAATGAATAGTTTTAGGCTATTTGAGTAAACAGGGTCCAAGAGAACGTGCTATGCTGTTCTTTGTCGAAGTTTTTCTTGGAAAAAACGTTTTGAAATGATTAATCAATAAATAAGGTTGCTTTTCAAACCATCAAATTCCCCTTAATCAGGCATAAGTGATGGTTTCTTTTACAGTATCTATCAGCTATACCTGAGGAAAATCCTTGAGATATAAACTGGCACCTTTCACCACTTAAACCATAGGGACAATAACATGAACAATTCTGTGTAACAAATCCTTTATTTTCACATTTTATATCTGGTGAACATTTATCTACAATAAAATAAACCTATACTATAACATGTACATGAATTCAATGAACACAATAAGTCAATTACAATAAACCAAAAACTTGCCAGATAAAGTTAACGTTTTGTCAAACATATGAATATATTTCTGGCAAAAGTTTAATTGAAATTGGACCAACCTGCACAATTATAAGCGATATTAGCTGCTTTTGTGTCCAGAAATGACAAACCATCTCGTCTTCCCATTAAAAACGCTAAATCAGGATCGATAGCATCAATAGTATTCTCACCATTACCACTGAAATACTAACATTTTATTTTCAATGATTTCAGTGATTCTTAAAGTTTACGATAGTAATTTTGACAATGCCGAGTGCCTCTGTAAGATTCGGATACTAGCTCATGAACCCCCGTTATCATTTCACCATATTCGAGTTCCGAGAGTCTAGTGTAATTAGCTTCTAAAACTATTATTATTATGTTGATGTGCTGTCAAGATGACACTTATTGCTTTCAAAGAAAGCATTGAAAACCTTAATATTTTTTTAAGCATAGTATCTAGCCAGCCAAACCATGTTGCTCATTAGTGGAACGCTATAAGTTATCAGCGTAGAATAGTCATGCTTCCTAGTATTGTGCTGCCAATGAACACGGCAAAACCTTACCTTGGGTCCATAATGCATATCAGAACCTAAATCATACAATGTTTCGGTAGTGGAATACACAGCTTCTTGAAAATTAGACTGCATGTCATCGAGAATATTGTCAGAATTAATACGAATGAATTTCTCACGATCTCGTCTAGCATGTTCATGATAAAATCCTATGGTGTGACCAATTTCATGTACAATGGTACCAAGCTGAAAATATAAAAATTAACAATAATTCTCAAAAGAAGCTTCTCACCTACAAATCTAGCAGTATAGAATCATCCAATTGTTCCAATTCAACTACTACGACTAACACCAACTACCTACCTACAAAGGTTAAACGAATAAAATTGTCTAAACTTATCGGTTTTCAGGCTGGTAAGAGTAAGAATTTCAGTTGTCCAAGTCATTTTCAGAAGGAAACCCGACGACCGATTAGCAGGACGTTAATATGTTGTTCTTAAATGGCTTGGAAAGAGAATACATTTGATGTGTCGTCAATTTCCATTTTCATTAAACTGAAATTCTGAAAAGTGTAAGATAAAATCACTTGACGGGAGATCGTCGAGATATATTAAAATTCTTTACGCGTCTTTCATATGATTTCAATAAGCTAAATTAGAAACTTACCCCTAAACAATGCATTTCGTTTAATACTAATGGTTGAGCATAATATTGCTGATAGCCCACAGCCGATGCACATCTGCAAAACAATCTTTTTAAAACTAATCTATTTACGTATATACTAATGTTATGTTCAGATCGTTTGACTTTAAATTTGATCAAAAGGTAGCATTTGAAGAAAATAGTTACTTTTTAATGTTTGGCTATCCATTGGATTAAGCTCTTTAAGCTCTGTAAGCGTTTACCCCGCAATCCGTCGAAGATGCTGCTGTACGTCTTTGCTTTTATGAACCTGTATTACTAATTCAACCTGGTCATTTTGAGCTAGAAATGTCCATGAAACTAAGCTTTAACTTACCCTGGACCCTTCTGTATTTCAAGATAATGTGATGGTTTGAATGCTTGTGGATACAACCATAATGGAATAAACCTTAAACATGTTCTCTTCTCCCAATGCTCCATTGCGTCATGTATTTTCACTTTGGTGTCAGAATTCTCTGAAAGTGCCATTTAGAAGTATTATTTCTTGATATTTGACACAAACACAAGACATACGGTAAGAACCATACGTAGTTTCGCATGAAGTAGTAGTCGATGGGCTTCATCTGGTGATTGACGAGATGTTACCAGCCGTCGTTGAAATCTAATAACTCTATTACAAGCTTGTGCAAATGCCTAAAAACCCTTTAAAAATGACCTTATCAAAATAACTGTTTATAACCTAGACAAAAAGTTTAAGAACCGTATATGACCAATTCTAGTGAAGGTGACTAACATGCACAAATCTGCTTACTGAATTTTTTGTCTTTGTCCTCACTGTACTTCCATGGTACAATGGCATTTGGCCACAACATATATCCAAATTCTACTGTTTTTCTTTTATGCACCGACTCCTGAATTAAAAAAATACGCGATTGTTAAAAATTTGACCTTTTCTTCAATGATGTTAGAGAAACCAATATACTTTATTCACGTAGTATTTCTCAAAGCCTCAAACTTGATTCGGAATAAATCAAAAATGTACCTGCGATTAGTCAAAATTATAGCTCCAGAAATTTCTTTTTTTTTGGAAAAAAATTATTTATCTATAACGGATTTGCTATGAGGCTGTACTGGTACAAACCAACTTACAGTAGTACTCTGTTTATCTATATTCTGGTCATTCTTTACCGCCATTATCAGTTCATCACTCTCTATTGTACCTTCTACATTTTGTGTCTCTTCTGGTGGTTCCTGGTTAATCAAATCCTTAATCCAGGACTAAAATAAATCAATATACATTTTGTTTAATCAAAGGACGAAACGTCAAACAGCTGTCAAAGTAACATTAAGATTGCTTTAACTTTTTTCGCAGACAAAATGCGTAATGAAAAATGTATACCATAGGGTCAAATCCTAAAGTTTCAAATAAACTCAAACATGTATTTTGCAAGAAAGGTTATTTACAGATTTAATTACCGAAATACTGAACCTGAACCTACTTTTGCGTGATATTTTGTCGTTCCCTGAAACTCAACTGAACTACTGATGGTGATTTTATCATATTTGGTGTCTCCAGAACACTGAAAAATAACAAAAAAAAAAAAAAAATGACAAATTTCAATTATTCGGCTGATTTTTATTGGCAATTCTAATTTTGATAAAGCATTGATCGCCTGTTGAAATCTTGATTGTTCGTTAAAAATTGCAAATAGATTTCATTAATCAACTCCATAAATCGTTACTGAAATTTTACTTTTGAACTTTCTTTCTTTTCATTTTTGTATCATGCTTTTTTTTTCATTTTACCACAATAAATGTTAGAACAATCACGAGAAGAAACTTGGGAATCAAGAGCGTTGTAAATTGTAATTCGGATACCTGGACGTTTAATTTATAATGCTTATGAGGATTTCGAATGAAATAGGTATTTTTTCAAAAAAACAGTGAACAATACATGTAGGTTGGCTTACCTGAGAAGCTATTACGAACAAGACAACGAGAGACATTCTACATCTATCCATAGTGAAATCGCAGCAGATCTGAATAACTGTCTAGCGCCAAATCTAACTTATTTCAACTGAATTCCAACTAATCCAACTAAATACATTTGGACCAATGGAAGACGTTTCTATCAATAATCAAATTGAATAGTGTTAAATAAAATCATTGATTAAAGTCAACAGTTAAAGATGAGAATATATTCTGAGTTGTTGTCTAACCACCGCTATACATGTCAGTTTATATCCCTGAAAACTTCTTATCACATACAGTATACTCTGTATAATCCGACATACACTGGGACCGCAAAACGATGTCGGATTAGCAAGAGTGTCAGAGTACTCAATATCCGCCCAAATCTTAAACAACTGTCAAAATTTTTCGAAATCGGTCGAAGCTGAATGAGCTATAGGATTTCCTAATGCAAGAGGGGCTACTATCACACAGGTTTATATCACGAGAGGTAATTTTCGGATTCTCAATCGATTACCAATAATGTGAAAAGACGGACAAACCGTGTGCCGATATGAAATACAGGTGCACGGTTACTGGGTTACAGTAAATTTGGGCACCGAAAATAATGGTCGCAATAATACGGGCACACTATATTTTGGCCATAGTAATACGGGCACACTATATTTTAGCTATAGTAATAAGGGCATTGTTATTTGGTTACAGTTACATTTGCCACAATCCTTAAGAAAGCTACTGGTATATTCCTTGTGTTTGGCACCCAGTACATAAGGGTAGTTCCAAGACGGCTCAGTGTTTGCACCTTGTGCCCTCATTAATGTGAATTACATTACCTTGTCCCCTTATAACTATGACCGAATTAACTTGTTCCTTTATTACTATGACCAAATTACCTCGTCCCCTTATAATTATGACCGAATTACCTTGTTCCCTTATTACTATAACCGAATTACCGTGTTCCTTTATTACTAAGACCAAATTACCTTGTCCCCTTTTAACTATGACCGAATTTCCTTGTCCCCTTATAACTATGACCGAATTTCCTTGTCCCCTTATTACTGTGACTAAATTACCCTGTCCCCTTATAACTATGACCGAATTACCTTATCCCCTTATAACTATGACCGAATTACCTTGTCCCCTTATTACTGTGACCAAATTACCTTGTCCCCTTATAACTATGACCGAATTACCTTATACCCTTATTACTGTGACCAAATTACCTTGTCCCCTTATAACTATGACCGAATTACCTTGTTCCTTTATTACTATGACCAAATTACCTTGTCCCCTTATAACTATGACCGAATTACCTTGTCCCCTATTACTATGACCAAATTAACTTGTGTCCGTATTACTGTGACCAAAATACCCTGTTAGGCCCGTATTACTGTGACCAAAATACCCTTTTGAGCCCGTATTGCTGTGACCAAAATACCGTGTGCCCGTATTACTCTGACCATAAAACTTTGTAACTTTATTACTGTGACCGTATTTCCGGTGACCAAATTAACTGTGACCGACTTACCTACATCCTAAATACATGAGCAAAATACCGCATGCCAGAATAGCAAAACTCATTATTTTGAAGTAATATGTGTTACTTTAGATTCTTTCGAAATCAATTTCGTACGATTGTGTGGAAATTTTAAATAATTCAATTAAAATGAACGATTTCACAAAAATGTGCACTGATAAAGAAGATTGAAAAAAAGGGGAGGGAAAAGGCGAGAAGGAGAGAAAGCAAGGAAAAGGGCGAAAAGTGTGGAAAAAGGTGAGAAAGCGTGGAATAAGGTGCAGAAAGAGACAAGAATTGAAAAGAGAGGAAAAAGGCGAGAGATAGAGATAGACCGAAACATCTGACTCTATTCCAGCCTCTATAATAGCTATTTTGAAAGTTGTCAGCTGATGTAAAGAAGGAAAAAACTAGGCCCTGTGTTGTGGATATTTTATGCACATCCGAGGTTGCAGGGGTTTAAAAGCTATTTATTTACATGTATATAGGATGCGCCAAACTCAGATAAATTGAGAAATGGATATTTTTGAAGTTCAGTCATACCATAATAATGTCCTTACACCATTTCCATCAAATTTTTTTTAAAACAGTGGTTGGGGGTGGGTGGATGTGAATACACAAAATCAATTCACTTTTTCTTGAGAGAGCCCTCTAAGACGCTCTATGAGAGGCTTGCCACTATGACACCACCATAGAGAAACCAAAATTTGAATTCAGAATCAACAGTTGTTCCAAAATTGCGTCAGTCTGTTGCCTCGAACCATCGCAAAATAAGGACTGGACTGTATTTCATTTACTGAATCAGGTTCATAACGATATTCGAACTTTTCACCCTGCATCTTCGATAAAACCTTTAGAAAATACAAAATAACTTTCTTGATTAAGACCAGAGTATTCTACTTCAAGTTCAAGGTTATTTTCCCAAAAATAAAATCGGATTGACACAATAAATGAATGGTTTATTTCAATTAAGATGATCAAACAGCATTTCTCGCCTGTAAATTATATTTTATAACTGCATTTTGGTGACGATCACGTCTTCAATAAAACACAGTATGAGTGAAAAAACTCGCCATTATAGCAGGTAACTCTTGAGAACGATCTGACGTCATAAAGCCATCTGTAACGTCAAGGCATTGTCAGTCCATTGCAGATGAAAGTATAATTACCATAAAGTCATCGTAATGGAAATAATATTAGATCCGGCATTAGTTCCAGTTGTTTTTCAGTTGAAAAACTTTAAATGCCCGAAGAATCTGAAACCAGCTATAACTGGTGATATCTATGAGCTAGGTGAATGGGAATTAGATAGAGCTATCATAGCTTCACCATCAATTTATGATGATACGGATTCAGAGACCGAAGATGATGGGAAAGAAAATGAAAGGAAAGATGGTGATGTGAAAGAATATTACAAGGCAGAAAGTGACTATAAGGAAAAGGATGAAAACGAGGAAGAATATGATGATCAAGTTTGGATTTGTGAGGTGAAACTTCCGATGGCTACAGAATTTGAATGGAACTGGGCCTTGGTGTCAAGGGACGAAACTAGAGCCATTTTCTTTGATGTGGAGCAAACTGTAAGAAGGAAAGATTGTGTGGGATATTACAAGAAAAACTTCCCTTCTATGTGGGAAATGGCTAGTGTACATCCAAATCATATCAAAGTTAAAGAATGTGATGTTAAAATAAGTCTTCTGGAGAAAAAAGTTAACAAAAACCAAAGGGTTTGTCTATTAGGTTCGGTTCCAGCAATGGGATGCTGGATACCTACACGGTCGATACTAGCAACTAGGTTAGGCGAAAACTCAAATCAATGGGATGTACAATTAAAGGTTGGTTAATTTTAAAAATGTGTTATTAGTTTACTTCTATTGCTGATTGAACAATCACCAAGCCCTTTGACCTCTATAAATATAGGTTAAAGGAGCAGTATACAAATCTTTCATTATCAAAAACTTCGTAAATAATACGTGAAAATATTTCTAAAATATGTTATTTACAACTATTTATCCACTTGATCAGACTGCATTTGTTTTCAAAAGGTTAATTGAAAATGGAGCTTACAAATTGATTTAGCTGAAACTTGGTATGCTAATTTGTATGATGAGGTCTCGGTCCAATCCCAGGTTGACGCTGTTTAGTGGAACGGTTTTTTAGTCATTTACCTTGAAAAAATTTAACGAAAATTGGAAGAAGTTTTGGTATATTATTACATGGTTTTCTGAGTGGTCGTATGGTACTTTGCCCGACTTTCTGCTTTTAATAGATGTATTCATTAATTTGCTACGTAGATGCGAACATATTCCACTGGATTGAATGTGATAATTTTCTACCGAACAGTCTGGTTCTTAAGGGTGTCAATCTTGACAATTTCAAGGTATTACGAACCAATACCTTGACATCAATAGGAACTTTTCTTGAATCACGGTAATTTGTGATATGATTGGATTGCAGCGTACTCAATCAATTAGGGCCTTCAGAAAGACTGTAAAGGAAGTGACTGCGCGTGTAACTACTGGTTGTCGTCTGTGCTGTCAAAATGTTTTGACTTATGTTTCATAAAATAACATACAACAAAAGTGCCTAAAGATATCAAGGTAAACGACGAAGCTCGTAATAGCTTGACATTGTGAACATGAAGAGTACCTAGTGCCGAGTTAGTAAAAAAAAGTTGATCTCCATCTCCATGATAACATCACAATAAGATTCTTCAGTTGCAGAATGCTTTATGTCACTCTATTGTAGCTACCTCTCAAGTCACGTCCTGTATATTGGAAATGGGCAGTAATCAACGTAAAGACACAAAAGATAGCAGAATGGGAAAGTCGAATGGACAGGACATTACACGTTCGAACTGATTACCTAGCTCTGAAATCCTTCTGGAATGAAAACTGTGAAGCCAGTGTGATAACCGCCAGGGACTATCCAAATGTTAAAGAGAAGAGTCAAAATGAAACAGGAGGTACTAATATATCTATTATTTTACAGCTCATACTATTAAAAGTAACGTGACATATAGCTTGCCAGGCAAGGTAATATACGCCCACTGGCAGCTTTGATTTATAAATATGAAATAGTCAACCTTAAGACATATATATATACATTCGTATCGTTAAAATCTGTCAAAAATTGGACCTTTTAGCGTGTTTACAGGCTAAAACTTGAATGCCGATTTTTCTGATTTTCAATAAAGGGTTCAGCCTTGGGTGATTACTAACACTCACGGCAAGTTTCGTCAAAATCCGTCAAGAATATTGAAACTCCTAGAGCGTTTACGAGTTAAAAATTGAACGCGTTCTGAAGAACACGATTTTCAATAGGGTTCATCCTTGATAAATTACAACACTCACACCAATTTTCGTCAAAATCCGCCTTAGAAAGTGATTACGAGCTAAAAATTGAGCGCATTTTCAAGAACAAGGACAATAACTAATACTAATTATTTTTCGTATAAAAAAAAATTATGACTTTCAATAGAGTTCATCCTTGGGTCATTACGAATACTCATACCTCTCTTGTTTCCCTCCTGGACAACTTTGTGAATTTTTAGCTTGTAAGATTGTATTTAGTGGTGGTGGTTGGTGGGGGGTGTTTACAGGCCTGGTACTGCCAAATATTTTTATTTAAAATCAAAGCTGCCAGTGGGCGTATATTACTTTGCCTGGCAAGCTATCTTTGTTAATTTACATTATAATATGTTTTTCATACACCATTAGGTTCAGGCAAGTTATTTAAACCAGTTATAGATCCTGATTTAACACAACCTCCAGCTCTATATTACGAGATGATGCGAGAAATTTACAAAATCTACAGAGCTTTACGACCAGATGGTTCGGTACAATATCGAAGATACAAGAATATGGCTTATGTCGAAAGGTTTCCCACATTACAAACCCTTGTGGACATAACCTCGAATATTCTACAATATAGAGATGCAATCGTGTTCCAAGTTACTGATGGTGGTGGTAAAAGAAAAAATATACGGTTTGCATTCAGGTGTTCTCAATTTATCGCTTTGGACTATCCAGATCCTGATGTTTTGACTGAAATGAGTTTCAGTTATTTAATGAGATACTTGTCAGATAGTCCACAATATTATATTGGTCCACCCATCATACCATATGAAAATGAGAAAACTAAAAAAGGTATGTGGTTATATTCTCGATGGATTAGGATTTTTTTTCAATTCAATCTCATTTCTGTCATTTTAAGAAGAGGAAAACCGAAATTCTTTAGATTGCTTGTGTTCAAGATCACAGACCTGTAGGATATTCTAGAATGAGAGAGTAATGGTTACAAATGCCTAATATGAAATCAATGATTAGATTTGTGCGCTGATTTGCAAGGAATTTATGAAAAAATCAAGAAGGGCATAATAAATATTATAAATTTTTAGTTTTATTAACTTAAAGCGATAGTTATTTCGAAGGAATTATTATATATCGAAACTACCTTTCACCATTACCTGAAGTAAATATACCATGTGCCTTTGAGATCATTTAATTGTATATTGAATAAAGAGTAGGCCTAATAGTCGAGAATTCTAAGGAGTTTTGAATATGAAAGCAATGTGAAAACTGAATCACGGCATCTAAAGATACACGGTATCTGCGAATATAGTTAAAATATTGATTATTTGATTAAAGTTTATGTATTATTGTGGTTATAATTTCAGATAAAATGACTGCATGGATTAAACGATCATATTATAATAAGAAAACAAATGTAAAAATTGAATTCGTTCTGAAACCAGAAGCCGACTACCTTTGTGTAGAGCCTCCTGATATTTCACCACATAAATGTTCTACACATCCTAAAAACATGCGGCCAAAAGCTGATGCTGATAATTGGTCGGAATCCATTGCACACAGTGAACTTAAAGAGAAGCGGTCAATTAAGAAAATTGGTCATCCAGAATTTCCACCAAGTAAGGTAACTAAAGGCACGCAGACGCGGTGGACAAATAGACCTTCTATAAATCAGATCAATGCTGCTTCTCAGTACAAACATAAGCACAGCCCAGTAAAGTTTGCAGAAACTACAAAGATTCTCTTAACGGCAGAAAAGCAAACTGATACTGAAGGGTTATATCAAACTAACATAGATACAACAGAAATGAAAGGTCAAAGCCAATATGGTACAGAAAAATCACAAATTGAAAGTTTACAACTTTCAAGTACAGATTCAGCAAAATTACACATTCTACAAAAAGCGCACCAAACTGTATTTGAACAAAAAGCTGCAATAGAAAAAGGAAAAGGAAAAAGTTTATGTCAAAATATTACAGAAAAACTGGGAAGTTTATATCAAACTTGTTCAGGAAAAGTCAGAAATGAAGAGTTTAATCAAACTTATAATGAAGTTTATTTAGTAAATGTAGGTTTATATCAAACTGATGTAGATACAGGGAAGGGTGAAAGGTTTTATAAAAGAAATATTTCACAGAAACACAAAGAAAATGAAAATTACCATCAAAATGATGATTTACATGAAACAAATATAGATACAGAAAAACGTGAGAGTTATGTCCCAAAAAACAATTCTTTGCTCTTTAACCTTGCATATTCGACACTTCGCAATATATTTTCATAAAATGAAATATTTACTCTTATTTATAACTGATCGGAATTACTTAACATTATCATAAATATCTCAATATCTTTTTATTAAGTCAGTTTACTTCACTTATTTGTTTATTACACTAGCCTGTTATAGCTCAATCACATCGGAAAGGCATCCCAATGTCACCAATAATCGCTGTTAACAACGGAATCGAGAATATCTATAGCAGGCTTCTCCATAAACGCCTAAAGTCCATAGACTTTACCCCAGGAACGCAATATGGTCGGATATTTCGCAGGTTGATAGCAATGTTGTAGAATTTGTATTTACAGGGTATTTTCTTTTCGCGTGTTCTTCACGTTTTCCGGTGATCAAGTACATTTCTAGTGTCCGGGATATCGCAAATGTTATCAGTCCGGTGTGACGGGGCTATTAAGAACAGCAGTTACCTTCCTTTTCCGCAAATCTTTAGATATTGTGTTCAATAACGTTTCAACCAAATTTTAATAACTGTCTTTACTCCAATATGTTTAAATTTTAAGGGACATGTATGCCATCCGTTTGACCAATCGTACCGGAGTGGCAGAAACAGGATTTTTTTGGGCTAAGCTAATCAGTAATTTTGTTCGCAGCTCACAGTCGAAATTTGAACCATCAAATCATGTGTGTATAAAATTATTCGCGTTTGTAAGTTAAAATGATGACTCGTCTTTTTCTTGATACTCCACCATATATAGAAAAGACATATTTAGAAACAGAAAGAAAAATTGTTAGTTTTAGGTATGTTTGAAGGAATCATCCGAATTTCGTTCAGTTTTAGTAGCTCTGAAGACTATTTACATATATCCAAATCAACCACCGAATCAACCACCGAAAAAGGCGAACCATGGCCTTTAAAAACTGATTTCATCTCAATTTTTTTTTTAATTTCTTGCAATCACTGATTTTTAAATATTTCAACATTCGATGCAAGTTAAAGACGAGGCTGTTATTATCTACAAACAGCAGTCTTTGCTGAATTTGCATCTCCACCATTTGATCTGTAAACGAATATATTATTATAATATGTTTCTCTTAAAATTCTGTTACATGTCAAATTATGTATTGTGGCAATATTCATCACATTTAAAGACGATGGTTCGCCATTTTCTGGGATTCATTTTGGCCTTGAATATATTTAAATAGTCTCCAGAAGTATTAGAGCGAAAATCACATAATTCCTTCAAATATACCTCAAACTAGACATTTAGCTTACTTTTTCTATATATATGCCTTTTCTTTATTTTTTAAGTTATTTTGAAACACAATTTTTCAATAATTACTTAGTTAAATGAATGTCCAAGTTTGAGACTTTAAGTTTTATGTCCATTCTACGAGATATTAGGCCATCTATTAGTCTAGTTCAATTCACTGTATATTATCTTGATTAATCAAGGCAAGAGTTCAAAAAATAGTAAAGTAGAAGTTTTCGGGCAAAGCTCATTGAAGTTCATGTCACTTTTGAAGGACTAGATATCTAGGACTATAAATTGAAATTGTTTATTGGTGTAATTTTAACATGTCAAAGGTCACCAACTCGGACGTCCTTATTTTGATTTTACAATTTTTAGTTCCGATTATTTAATTATTGCTGAAGTTTAATCTAAAAGGTTTATAGTATATTTCTGTAAGCTGTAACATGTCCACAAACGACAAAAGTGACGACTGGAAAGTAAAATATTTAAAACAAGAGGAGACACTGAAAGCTTTATCATCTCATTGTTTTAAAGGTTTGTTTACTTTTTTCTTTTCTTGAAATGTTATCATGCCCCTTTTTTGTTTTGAGAAAGCATTAGGCTATTGTTTTTCTGTATAAAAATGCTTTCAGAAACTGATAGATAACTAGTAACTTACTATATATTAGTACGGTAGTACAAATATTTGTGAAGTGAGAGAAAAGATTTGATTTAAAGCTCAATGTAGTCAGACAGTAGTGCTAGTAAAGTCAAAGTTATACAAACTTATAGATTGTGAGATTCATTAATTTTGTACCAACTGATAAAGTTATACAAACTTATGGAAAACAAGATTAATCTATGTTATTGTTTAAGAGTTTTGTTGTTGTAGTTGTGGACAAGTATGAAGAAGTGATCAAGAAATTTAATGAAAATAAAAATAAGGTTTGACAAATTTCCTTATTTCAACAGTTCATAAGATTAAGAATTTCTTGCAATGGAATAAATACTTATGATTTGCGCATAGACATAGCATGAATTTTAAAACCTTCACGCTAAGAGTATAAATCTTTTTGGGCAATTGACAAAATCCGCTCTGAGAATTATAGTTTTAGGTTTTATGTTCTCACATATGATTTGGTCTGTTGTCAACTTCCTCCTATAGCCAATGCTATTCACATGTTTCTTTCTGATTACAAAACACATGAGTCACTGAATCAAATTACTTCCTCTTACTATTTTATAATGACATTTTAAAAATCAAAATCAAGGTTGAGTGCACATTATATTTCAACCTTGACCAAATATAAATCATACTAAGTTGATTTATTGTAAAATTTGTCTTGATAATATTGTTTTTATTTATAATTGAATATTTCAGTATGATGCTGTTGTAAAAAGATTGGATGAAAGAGAAAAACAATTATTACATATTAGAAAATGTAAGGTCCATCACAGTACTTTCTAGGTTTCCAAGGCTGTTGATTTTCAGCATTTGTCTGTTATGTATAATTGATTTTTTCATGTTCTGTAAGCTTATATGCCATTGTGGCCTATGTAGTAATTAGTTGCAACATTCATCAATTATAGTAAACCAGTGATTCGCTCAATTAATTAAACCAGTAAAAATTACAAAACCAGTGGCATATCGTGGGTGACGGCTTGAAACTCGTATATGCCATATTTGGTCATTTTGACTTTTTGGTACCATTCGAAAGCTCTTAAAGGTGCGGATCTTGTGATTAAAACCTCTCATTCTTAGCTTGATTGTAAATAACTCAAAAAGCGCTAATTAAATAACACGTATATAAACAGTCAGATTTAAAACCTCATAAAATATTATATTATACGAGGTTCAATGTTCCTTTTCTGAGGCTGAAAATGAAAAACCTCTTATACTGTATTATTATACGAGTTTTTGGTTAAATAGGCCAGAGATTTCAAATTGTTATACGAGGTTTATATTTTCCAAGAATGAAAACCACGTATAGCGGTAAAAAAAATAATAAAAAAGATTTTAACAAAATACGCGTACAAATAGTTTTTTGCGTTTTTCTCGAAAAGTAATTCCGCGTCATATATCGTTATACAAGGTTTCAAGCGGTCACCCACGATATCATATTGGAAGTCAAAGGTTGATTACTGCTATCATGGTTAGACATGATAAACCTGTTAGGTATATCAAATGATAATATGAAGCATTAACATTTAATAATAAAGACTATAATTCATATTTATTCTTGAATATCTGAGTTTGACAATTTTAGTTTGAGACCTAAACAATTTTCAACAGTCATAGTTACTACACCTACATTACTGTTTTTCTTGTAGTATTAGAACCAGTGTATGCTGAATATTCTACGTTAAAAGAGAAATATGAAATTGAATTGGAATGTAGACATGAAGCAGAGAAATTTGCTTCAAAGGTAATTTATATTATATATATCAGTTTATCTTTGTTAGTAATGCATATTTGTATATAGGAAATGTCCTGAGGATAAAAAATAGAGTCAGTTATATTGATCTCTAATCAGACATGACCAGCAAATAAAGAAAAATCATAAGCCCTGGACCAGATCATGTTTTTCAACGAATTTGTTATGACAATTGAAAAGTTTTAAGTTTCTGAAAATTTCAATCTTCAAATTATTTTAATAAAAATATTTGCGAAATTTGATGCTTCTTTAGTGAACTCAATTATTGTTGAATGACAAAATATTTTTACATCATATTATAAAAACAGAATCTGACATTTATTGTTATTTATTGTCAGTGTTAGTCTTCAATTTTTTTTTGTATTCATAAAATGTGGACCATCAGATGATTGTTTTACACCAGGAAATTATAGTACATGATATCATATAGAGACTAATTTACTTGTTAGTACTTTATACGCCCACATGGAAATGTGGTCTGTTGGTCCGTCAACATTTCTTGTGAACATAATAGAGACTACAGTTTTAATGAAATCATTTATATTGATGAGATCTTGGTCAAGATCGAAGTTGACGATCTTAAGCTGAACGGTTTTTGAGTTATTGCCCTTGAATTAGGCAAATCGCGTCAAAATTTGTTTGTGAACGCAATAGAGACTACAATTTTCAATGATTTTCATGAAACATGGTCAAGTTCGAATCTGATGTTCTTTTGATGAATTGTTTTTGAGTTATTTCCCTTGACTTAGCAAAAACGTGTCAAAATTTGTTTGTGAACACATTAAAGACTACAGTTTTCAATTGATTTTCATGAAACATGGATATTGATTTTTAAAAATTTGGTGGAATTTCTCAGTATAAATAACTGGCAGTAAATATATAATATAATTTCTTTAATATGAGAAAATTCATACTTTAGTCACTAAAGATTGTTTTATCATTTCTGACAGCTGCCAGTGGGCGTATGTTACCTTGCCTGCTAAGCTATCTTTTTCAAATGCCCCTAGGATATAGAAACATTTAAAATGATGTTATAAATTTCATGACTGAATACTAATTTTCACGTTTCACGTGATGAAAAATAAACACTTCTTTTCCTTGTCTAGTTTATAAACAATGTGTTTTTGGACTAAATTCAATATATTTTGGGTTTTGGGATTTGCATAAAAAATGTAAATACTGTAATTTGACTCTTTTTGGTGATTGATTTCAGGTCTAAAACATAAATCTTGGCATTCTAAGACAGCCTTGAATGACAAATTTAATTTTTGTGAAATTCAGTCCGATGCACAGTCCGATGTCAGAAGCAAGAACTATTAATTTCATTCATTTGAAACATTACAAAATGAAATTTTATTTCTAGATCACTAGAGAAAATAGAGTGTTAAAAAGACAGAGTCAAGCATTTTTAGATATTCATGATGGGGAGGTACCTGTTGAAGATGAAACTGATACATTTAAACCCTATCTAGATACACTTAATAAGAAAATAACAGGTAGGTTTTAACATGAAATTTCAGCTTTCATTTTTTATAAGACAAAGTATTCTTATTTATGTTAATGATGTATCTTCTTTCATTTTCCCACATTTTCACATGATTTCATTGAGTTGAACAACATCCTTCACAAAATAAAAATTTGTAGGTCCCGTGAAAATTTGGTCAGGAAAAACTGTAGATAATATTCAGTTGGTATTAGGTAGGCAAATAACTATCACATGTTTATAATGTTATATTAACAGAATTGGAGGAAGAAAAGGCAGCATTGTCTTCTGAATTAAAACAACGCAACGAAGATTTTGCCATATTACAAGATGATTATTCTGGTTTATTTAAAAAGGTAAGTTCTACTGTTATTATATACAATATGATGTAATGTTAAAGCTATATGTGCTATAATCCAGTTTGAAGGTTAGTTTAACTTTGATCAAAGTAAACAATGATGCGAAAATCTACGGGCTAGAAAGCTTGAATTCAATTTATTGAATTTATTGTAAAATTTCTTGTGAAGTACAAAGGATTATTGAATTCCAATTTAATTTTGGCAATGTCATACATGACAACATTTCAGCAAGTTGTAGCTACTTATTGGTCTTAATATATGTTAATCAGACAATCATGTTATTATGTTTCAGAATGACTTATTAATTAAGGAACTAGAACAATGTAAAGTATCTGTAGCTCAGTATAAAGATTCATTAAAACAAGTCACTTCAGGTAAGCATTCACACTTCATTGTCTAGAATCTGGTAAAAGATATCAGACTGCCATCATTGCTTGCTCTTGTTATGCTGCAAGGCGTAGTGTTGAGATGTTTTAATCTTAATATAGAAATCATCATAACTGTTGAGTATTTTATATGAGGAACATGTTTTAAGCTATTTCAGTCACTTTGAATAGACTAAAGTAAGGTTTACTAAGAGAATAAGTAATTACATGTTATTATCTGACTATTTCAGTATCTGAAGCAGCATATGAAGAATATGAAAATTTAAAGAAAGAATATGAAAAAGCTACAGTTTGTCAAAATACAGCTGAAACATTTGCTACAGAGGTAATTTTTATTTTAATTTATCAAAGAAATTGGCTGATTTAAAAAAAAGGCCCCATCAAAACGAAAAGCACAAATGAAATGAAATGAATGGAGTTTTACGTCCACCTCTTCCGTACCCAATTGCGGTAATGAAGATTGGCAACATCACGAGGTGTGCAATGAGGGAAATTCTGCCAGTATAGTTTTTTTCATTGGTATTATAGATGTATGCGCAAAGTGAAGCTATGAAGAGACAGAGTGCTGTTCTATTATCTAGTGCTATGTCTGATGATAGATTAATGAAAGCTCTAAATGAAGTAGAAACTTTAACACAACAATTAGAAATGATGAAAAAAGAACATAGGAATAAGGTAATTTACAATTAACTTGGGTGTCTAGGAAAATATTACAAGGAAAAAACTCGAAAACTGCCTTACCAATGTCCAAAAATTGTAAAATTCAGTGAGGTAGACATAAAATGAATCCAACCCTTATTCTTGATCGAGATGTAAGGATGACAGAGTCAGCAGACAATGTCCTGTATTCTGCTCTCATTCACATAAAACTATTCAATCAACAGAAATTTATAAAAAAAAAAGACATACATATTGTTCATTGTGAATTTATGATGTGGGATTAATATGATGTAGGATTTCATAACTGGCTGATTGAAAGGGATTGTAAAGAGGTTTTCTGAACTTTATATGTGTATCTGGGGCACAGATAGTTTCAATATGTACCTTTCTTCTTTTTAGTCAAATATTTGTCTGTGGGTCATGCAATACCACCAAAACATTTCATGATGTAGCTTTCATTATGGCCCTTATTTTAATAAGAATCTTTTTGATAGTGACATCATATATGATTAAGCATTTCTCTAAAGACAGGCACCTGATTCACATAAAAAAGGCTTGAGAATTTGTTTACAATCTTTGAAAAAGGCCTCTAAGCTGACAACGAAAAATTGTGAAATCTGTCACAAAATATATCTTTTTTATAGTTAAAAGATTTTGAAAGAGAACTGGAAGAATTAAAAGATAAAGATATTATTAGTACATTAGAAAGTGATAATCAACAGTTACATGAAGAACGTGATCAACTATCTACACAATTAATACAACTACAAACACAGTATTCTAATTATGAAAAACAGTATAAAACACTAGAATCTCGATGTAAGTAATTTGGTATATACTATAACCAAAATATTTTAATTATGGAAAACAGTATAAAAAACTAGACTCTCAATGTAAGTTATATGGTATATGCTATAAACAGAGTATTTTTAATATGAACAATAGTATAAAACACTAGAATTAGAATCTCGATGTAAGTTATATGATATATACTGCAAACTCAGTATTCTAATTATGAAAAACAGTATAAAACACTAGAATCTTGATGTAAGTTATATAATATTAACTACAAACTCAGTATTCTAATTATGAAAAACAGTATAAAACACTAGAACCTCGATGTAAGTTTTATGATATATACTGCAAACTCAATAGCCTAATTATGAAAAACAGTATAAAACACTAGAATCTTGATGTAAGTTATATGACATATACTGCAAACTCAGTATCCTAATTATGAAAAACAGTATAAAACACTAGAATCTTGATGTAAGTTATATGATATATACTGCAAACTCAGTATTCTAATTATGAAAAACAGTATAAAACACTAGAATCTTGATGTAAGTTATATAATATTAACTACAAACTCAGTATTCTAATTATGAAAAACAGTATAAAACACTAGAACCTCGATGTAAGTTTTATGATATATACTGCAAACTCAATAGCCTAATTATGAAAAACAGTATAAAACACTAGAATCTTGATGTAAGTTATATGACATATACTGCAAACTCAGTATCCTAATTATGAAAAACAGTATAAAACACTAGAATCTCAATGTAAGTTATATGGTATATGCTATAAACAGAGTATTTTTAATATGAACAATAGTATAAAACACTAGAATTAGAATCTCGATGTAAGTTATATGATATATACTGCAAACTCAGTATTCTAACTATGAAAAACAGTATAAAACACTAGAATCTCGATGTGAGTTATTTGGTATATACTATAAACAGAGTATTCTAATTATGAAAAACAGTATAAAACACTAGAACCTCGATGAAAGTTTTATGATATATACTGCAAACTCAGTATTCTAACTATGAAAAACAGTATAAAACACTAGAATCTCGATGTAAGTTATTTGGTATATACTATAAACAGAGTATTCTAATTATGAAAAACAGTATAAAACACTAGAACCTCGATGAAAGTTTTATGATATATACTGCAAACTCAATAGTCTAATTATGAAAAACAGTATAAATCATTAGATCTTGATGTTAGTTGTATGCAGTATTCTAATTATGAAAAACAGTATAAATCATTAGATCTTGATGTAAGTTGTATGCAGTATTCTAATTATGAAAAACATTATAAATCATTAGATCTTGATGTTAGTTGTATGCAGTATTCTAATTATGAAAAACAGTATAAATCATTAGATCTTGATGTAAGTTGTATGCAGTATTCTAATTATGAAAAACAGTATAAATCATTAGATCTTGATGTTAGTTGTATGCAGTATTCTAATTATGAAAAACAGTATAAATCATTAGATGTTGATGTTAGTTGTATGCAGTATTCTAATTATGAAAAACAGTATAAATCATTAGATTTTGATGTAAGTTGTATGCAGTATTCTAATTATGAAAAACATTATAAATCATTAGATTTTGATGTTAGTTGTATGCAGTATTCTAATTATGAAAAACAGTATAAATCATTAGATTTTGATGTTAGTTGTATGCAGTATTCTAATTATGAAAAACAGTATAAATCATTAGATCTTGATGTTAGTTGTATGCAGTATTCTAATTATGAAAAACAGTATAAATCATTAGATCTTGATGTAAGTTGTATGCAGTATTCTAATTATGAAAAACAGTATAAATCATTAGATCTTGATGTTAGTTGTATGCAGTATTCTAATTATGAAAAACAGTATAAATCATTAGATGTTGATGTTAGTTGTATGCAGTATTCTAATTATGAAAAACAGTATAAATCATTAGATCTTGATGTAAGTTGTATGCAGTATTCTAATTATGAAAAACAGTATAAATCATTAGATCTTGATGTTAGTTGTATGCAGTATTCTAATTATGAAAAACATTATAAATCATTAGATCTTGATGTTAGTTGTATGCAGTATTCTAATTATGAAAAACAGTATAAATCATTAGATCTTGATGTTAGTTGTATGCAGTATTCTAATTATGAAAAACAGTATAAATCATTAGATCTGGATGTAAGTTGTATGCATAATTCTAGGAGACATTTTACTCTACAATTAGGTGTTTATTTTACTTAAATCTGTACTGTAGTTTTCTAACAGCTTGAAAAAAGCATAACGAACTTTAAAAGGTTACGTAACCTTCTATGTAAAGTTTTGGCTTTTAGAAATTAACGGCTGGATTTTTTTAGGTAAAACTTTCATATACATTATGGGATACATTTCTATACATTTTTGTCTCTAGTTTTTACAAATTTGAGCAAAAAAAAATTTCTACAAAGGGAGTCTATTTATGACTGGCTTGCATCTTTTGTTTTTTAGACACAGAATTGGAGAAGAAATATGAAGATATTTTACATCCTCCCCCTCCACCACCACCCCCTCTACCACCAGTATCAGTGATGAAAAATAGAGGGTAAGTCTATCATTGAATCATTCTACATCCAATATCAGTGGTGAAAGGTCTATTTAACGGTATATCCAATCTGATGATATTAATATGGCCTCATGATACATAAAAATATTTACTAACTTTTCTGTTGTTACTGTTGATCATTTTACTTCATAGATTTTTATCAAGAAGTCAAAGTAAAAGAACAAAGGAAAGAAATATAAAATGTAAGTTTAAAATCACATATTAATGAATCTTTTGCACTCGATTATATAAAATACACCTGTTTGTTTTGCTTTGATTATTTTTAGTCATTTAAAATGACAGAGGGTGATAAAAGGTTTTTCCATTATCAGTCACAAGGTTGTACATTCTACATTTTGCAGTGATCTTCTTTTCCAACTGATAAATCAAATGGATCTTATGTCTCAGCTCCTACGGAATTATGAAGACAGGCATGGCCTTGAAGTGAAATTTTGCCAAGGAAAATTACAAATTTTCATTTTTGGCAGTTAAGTTAGTTTCAATGAGAGGGTGTTATTGGTTCTTGCCCAGGGTTTCTCAAGTCAATTAGCTCAAACTCTGTAGAAGTGCTATGGACTTGATAATCTTAGAGGGTGATGTGAGGTGTCAGACGCAACTTTGCAAGGGCTGATATTCCCTAGGTGTTAATAAATATTGTTCACACCCAAAAAAATACAAATATTGTTTTCAGTGGCCACAGGTGGAGCTAAAGCTAATGAAGATTATAATAAAGCTATTAATGAAATGATGTCCAGAATAAAACAAGGAAATCAAGCCTTACGACCAGTATTAAAACCAGTTAGACGGGTATGTTCCTCATGTTTTCTTTCATTACAGAAATTGTGTTGTATTAGACAAAGAAATTGTGTTGTATTAGACAAAGAAATTGTGTTGTATTAGACAAAGAAATTGTGTTGTATTAGACAAAGAAATTAATGTGTTGTATAAGACAGAGAAATTAATTTGTATTAGACAAAGAAATTAATGTGTTGTATAAGACAAAGAAATTGTGTTGTATTAGACAAAGAAATTGTGTTGTATTAGACAAAGGAATTGTATTAGACAAAGAAATTGTATTAGACAAAGAAATTGTGTTGTATTAGACAAAGAAATTAATGTGTTGTATAAGAAAGAGAAATTAATTTGTATTAGACAAATAGCAAAACTTATTCACTTTAACTTGATATGTCTTTCTCAGTTGTTAACTTAAAAAATGAATCCAAAATGAGAAAGCATACTGTTTCTCCATCATGAGATTATTGTCTCCCTTTCAGCATTATTCTTGTTTTCTATTCAGCCTTCCTGTCCTGATGACAATGCTGGTGCTATGGAAGAACTACATACAATGCTGGTAAGAATTTATGGCTTAGATACTGTAGATACATTGGTTATAAAAGTATATTCTGTCAAAATTAAAGGTAGCAATTCTTTAAAAGGATCTGATAGAAAAGTTCTCATTTCACAGAGACGTAGATTATGGAGGGATTCCTTTTATTATTCAGCTTTATTCGCCTGATAAAGTGAATATCAAGACAATTTTTTTCGCTTTAATTATCTTAATTTGAAAATTAAAAGGACAATCATAATTTAGTCTCAGAAACAGAAATTTTTTAGACAAGCCAATCAGTAATAGTGTTCACAGCTCACTGTCCAAATTAGAGCCTTCAAATTCAGAATTTTCTGCTTTTGAATGTTTAAATGATGACCCGTCAATTTAAGATACTCTGTCATTTATATATAGAAATAGTAAGTAAAATTCCTAGTTTGAAGTATTTTTATAGGAATTATGCCAGTTTCATACATTTCTAGTACTTCTGAAGATTATTTACATATATTCAAGACACAAATCAACCAAAATGGTGCACATGTCTAAGTAAAACTTAAAAATTAGGATGTATGATATTGTCACACATGAATATTTATGATATATTATTGTAGAGTAAAATGAAGAGAAATCGTTCTGTGGGAGATTTATTAAGTATTGAAGATGATGATGAATATCAACTTCCAGAATCAGAATTAAAATCAACATTTCAAAAAATTAAAAAGGCTGAAGATAAGGTAAATTTTTCAGTAGAATTAAGTCATTAGTTGAATATTGAATGACCCATAACAGGAAATGCAGAACAATTTGTCTGATCATGTATGACAAGTGGAGAAACCAGAGTGAACAAAATATGATGATAAATCTGTATCTATGATGAGATGTTATTACTCAATTCCTATATTAGTAATTATCTATTGTCTGTATCTATCTTAGTCCATTTCAAATCAATATTTAAAAGAAAATTTAATTTCAGATGTGAACTCATAGAACAATATGCTCAAGTACCAGAAAAGTCCGAAAACAGTGTTCAATAATTTATCATATTGGTTGTTAGTTGTTAATATTTTTTCAGTTTACTTTTCTCAAAAAATCTTTTGACAGACCTTAAATTGTTAATAATTATTTTTGATAAGTTTTGTGTTCATGTGATCATAAGATCTTTAAAGAAAAACACTCTATGCTTACTATCAAAGTAAAGCTTACATCAGGTACATTTTACACAACTTACATTCCTTATAATATGTGCTTTTTCATAACTTACACAATTTTTAAACTACCTACATTTCTATTGTTTTTTATAATTATTTAACTGTTATAAACTATTTTATATCAGCTTTTATATTATATATATTACATTTTATACTGGCTTGTAGGCCTATATAGTTTCTTGTTATATTTAAGCAAAGATATTTATGCACATAGGATGAGGCAAAACATGAATATGAGTATATAAGAAAGATGACAGGTTTCCAAAGAACAAAGACTGATAGCCTTATATTTATTAGAAAGCTCACAGTCTTTGATCACCTTATATTTTTAGAAATAGAACCAGTCTCAAAAGATCAAACACTGGTGTCCTATTATTTTAGAAACCTGACAGTCTGTGATCCATGGAAACCTGAGAGCATTATATTTATATATCTGACAGGTTTCTAAAGATCAAGTACTGGTATCCAATATTTTTTCATATTTCTGTTTTTGATCTCTGGTTGATTTACACTTTAGAAAGTTGTAATATTTTCAAAAAACAGACTGGGAGCATCATATTTTTACCAAACTTACTACTTTTTATCTTTGTATCAAACAAGCTGAGGAAATAAAAAGGGTTTCTAGTTATTAATATATTTTATTATACAGGTTTATAAATTATCACAGTCAACTAATAAATAACAAAACATACAGAGTTATTTCTTCTTGCCATCTTTTTTTGGTGAAGGTGAATTGGACGGTGTGTGTTCATCTGTTTCTGGTTGAGGAGGGAGGTCAATTTTATGGAACACATGTTCATCATGACAACAGTATTTATCATTCTCTTTCAGTTCATCCTCTATTTGAACTAGCCTATTAAACTTCATGACTCTCTCACCTCGAGAAGGTGCTCCTATCTTGATAAATTTAGCATGTAATCCAACAGCCTATAATAATAAATAAAAATTTAAATGTGTCGCTCACAATACAATAGCAGCCCTTCAGTTCATGTGGAAATTTTTCGAAACAAATTGCACCAATACTAGTTTCTGAGCAATAGTAAATTTTTTTTAGTGTATGTAAAGGTAATAAATGAATAATATTACAAAATTTTAAGTTGTTTAAGTATTTGATGGCCAATCCACAATTGACTATGAAACAGCCTATACTTACTAGATCAACTATAAAACTATCTGATGTATCTCCCTGGTTAGTTGTTATTACTGTTAGATTATTGGCTTCTGAAAAAAGCAGATACATTGCCTTATTATAAGTTATTCTGTGTATGCTATGCAATTCTCAAACTAGTTTGAAAGATGTATACTAAGATTATTTTAATATCAATAAAAAAAATTTCAAAATGAATGGTTGTTTGTCAGTGTTTACCTTCCATTTTAAGTTGACATGTATGAATATCAGTTAAAGTGTTCATATGTTGTAACTTGTATACTATGCCACTAGCTTGAAAATTCTCTGTTAGTTCTTCTGATTGTAAAAGTCCAGGTCTATGGTAAACATAATCTCCTATTATATAACATTGCTCTGATATTCTGTCACATAACTTCATCCACTGGGCACGTTCCTACAAATTTTTAAAAAGAACTAGATTGCTAATATTATCCTGATCCTGCTATTTGAGAATTGGATAACATCATAAAGAAAGGTTTTATCATAGTATGCATTCTTGTAACCTTGTTCTTGTTCTTGAGAATTGACAGTGATGTTATTTAAATATCTTTATGGCATTTCACAATGGAATCCAGGGTTGTTGCACAATTTTGTCAAGTTTTGAAAGTTACTAACCTGTTTTCTGAGTGGATCTATTAGAGCTATAATAGCAGGATATCTAGTAATAATATCAACCCAGAACTCTACCAAATCATCAGGTGATTTTAACTGTCCTGTTGTTATCTCATATTTACCTTTATCCTGTAATAAACCAAGTTTCCAGTAAGGGTCTGTGATGATACAAGTTTACATCCGCATATTGTCATGTGAAAATAAGACAATATGAAAGTGTATGTGTAATTTACATTACCATGTAATCAAGGGAGGGCTATAGGTTATCCATGTCAGATATATAGGTTCCTATTTATATGAAATGACTACAGATTTCATTGGATTCTGATGCACATAAATTAAGTGTCATGATTCACATTGAGTTATTGCCTCTGAATTTGATGCTAAAAGACCATGATTTTTGAATGTTAACATAGGAAAGATATAATTTATTTCCAGAATATGTCAAGCTTTTACAGGATTTGCTAACCCCATGATCAAAAGATTACATGTCAGAAATTGGTAGCTGAAGATTCTTAAATCATAACTGTATGTATATCAAATTAATGGCTACTTACAAACTCAAACATTTCATGAGCTGCAATATTTAATGCTATATTAAAATCTTCTCCTGGTGTTAACCAACTGATGTAATAGCTTCTTGTAACAAATCTAAACCTTGTTCAACCTTTTCTAATATAGGACATAAAGCTCCTATATCATTTACATATCTACCACTCACCTAGCAACATCATAAAGTGAAGATATCATATCAAAATCATTAAGAGAAGATATTCTACCAAATCATACATATAAAGAGAAGATATTATATCAAAATCATTAAGAGAAGATATTCTATCAAATCATACACATAAAGAGAAGATATTCTATCAAAATCATAAAGAGAAGATATTCTATCAAAATCATTAAGAGAAGATATTCTACCAAATCATACACATAAAGAGAAGATATTCTATCAAAATCATTAAGAGAAGATATTCTACCAAATCATACACATAAAGAGAAGATATTCTATCAAATCATAAACACAGAGAGAAGATATTCTATCAAAATCATAAACAGAGAGAAGATATATCATCCAAATCATAAAGATAAAGAGAAGATATTCTAACAAAATCATAAACATAAAGAAGAAATTCTATCAAAATCATAAAGATAAAAAGAAAATCCATAAAGAAAAGATATTGTATAACAATCTTAAAGAAAAGGTATTCTACCAAAATCATAAAGATAAAAAGGAAATTCATAGAGAAAATATATTCTATAAAAATCTTTAAGAAAATAAAAGGTATTCTATCAAAATCTTTGTTTACGAGCATTTCAAGAACAAGGGCAATAACTTATCCATAATATTTTTCGATTTTTTCGATTTTCAATAAGTTTTATCCTTGCGTGATTACAATCATACCAAGTTTTTTTGAAATCAGTCAAGATTTATGCCTTCTAGAGTGTTTACTAACAATTGTGGGTGGACAGAAGGATGGAAATGGGTGACGACAATATTCACTCCCCATTTCATGTGAGCGTATAAAAATCATGAAGAAAAAATATTCAGAAGTGAAAGAGAAGATATGTTGTCAAAATCATAAAGAGAAGAAATGCAGTCAAATCATAAACAGAAGGTATTTGATCAAAATCATAAAGAGAAGATATGTAGTCATAAAAAGAGGATATTCTATCAAAATCATAAAGAGCAGATATGTAGTCATAAAAAGAGGATATTTTATCAAAATCATAAAGAGAAGATATGTAGTCATAAAAAGAGGATATTTTATCAAAATCATAAAGAGAAGATATGTAGTCATAAAAAGAGGATATTTTATCAAAATCATAAAGAGTAGATATGTAGTCATAAAAAGAGGATATTTTATCAAAATCATAAAGAGCAGATATGTAGTCATAAAAAGAGGATATTTTATCAAAATCATAAAGAGAAGATATGTAGTCAAAATCATAAAGAGAAGATATGTAGTCATAAAAAGAGGATATTTTATCAAAATCATAAAGAGAAGATATGTAGTCATAAAAAGAGGATATTTTATCAAAATCATAAAGAGCAGATATGTAGTCATAAAAAGAGGATATTTTATCAAAATCATAAAGAGAAGATATGTAGTCATAAAAAGAGGATATTTTATCAAAATCATAAAGAGTAGATATGTAGTCATAAAAAGAGGATATTTTATCAAAATCATAAAGAGCAGATATGTAGTCATAAAAAGAGGATATTTTATCAAAATCATAAAGAGAAGATATGTAGTCAAAATCATAAAGAGAAGATATGTAGTCATAAAAAGAGGATATTTTATCAAAATCATAAAGAGAAGATATGTAGTCATAAAAAGAGGATATTTGATCAAAATCATAAAGAGAAGATATGTAGTCATAAAAAGAGGATATTTTATCAAAATCATAAAGAGAAGATATGTAGTCATAAAAAGAGGATATTCTATCAAAATCATTAGGGAAGATATATATCAATGTATTTAATAATATATTATCAAATTCCAGGAGCATATACAGCCAAATTCATAAGAGAAGACATCAAAAAGGAAAATGAAATTTTATGTCCTACTCTTCTGTACCTAATTGGGCTAATGTATAAAGGTAATGTCATGCAGTGTACAATGAGGAAATTTTGCCAAGACAACAGTATTAGTCTACTCTATTTGGATTTAAAAACTGTTGAGGGATCTTTAACTTGTACAGCCTGTAGCACATATAAAGAAAGATGTATCAATAATTTTCCTTTTTCAAAATGCCATGCCTCCTTAGTAATGAATCCTTACTTTTGGGAAATTGCAATTTTGATTGTCCTCACTGCAGTAATCTATCAATTAATTCTCGTATAATATGGATATACCCTTCGGCAGATCTTTTCCAAAATGATATTAGTAGTTCAAATTATCTATTATCTCTGTATTCTATGTAATGACCAAACTTCTTCAAAAAGCACTTTAAGACTAATTAAATATAATAAAAATAAGTTTGCTAAAAAAAAAAGGCATTGTTTACAACATTGATGAGATGAAAGGCTTATGAATTGTAATCAAATACTTACTCCACTTTTATGTAAGAAACTTTTACCAATATGATTATAAATTTCTTGAATATAATTCATAGCCTGAAAGAACATTTACAGAAAGTAATGTAATCTAATCATTCCTATAAAAGATTATTATATTCTTTTTTTGACAGGTTTTAAAATTCAATTACATTGCAAATACCCTGAAAACATTTATAATTTCAATTTCTGCAGATCAATTTGATATTATATAGCAGATGTTATTCATTATTTTTTAATTATAAATATGGAAAGGATGGTCATAGATAAATATGTCATAGACATTGTGAGGGAAATACTCAACACAAAGTTTTACTGGTGAAATGATTTCAGAGTTAAATCAAGCTGATTCTCGACATCTACGGAGATCTAAGGAGATTCACACCTTCAACATCCATAGAAAATCTAACATTCCAAAAACAAACTAAAACATGCCCCAAATATGCAGCATTCAAATTCACAAAGAAGCTGACAGAGATATAGTTTCATAAGGGCATACTATCCATCTATAGGTTTCTATTCAGTTAGAAATAGTTTCAGAAGAAACAGTTTTTTGATTGAAACTTGATTATAATCAAGACTTGCTTATTGCTTACTTGCTTACTTATATAAAGTCAGTGTTATGTCTTACCTCTGATACAGACATAGAAGGCTTTGGTATTAACATAAATTCTTTCACACATTTCAGTTTCCCTGATGAGGCTTTTCCAGCTTGCAGTATAGTTGTCATTGGTAACGGAAGATGGTATTTGTCTGTTGACTGAAATAAATTTATAATTTCTTTTATCAAGGATCATATTTTCATGTTGAAAGAAGATCTTCTCTTACTAAAATTACTATGAATTAAGAGTGCTATTTCAGTTATTTAAAGCAAAATGAATTTAAATAGGTTAAGTATGTCTAACATTCCAAGGATAATATCAATTAAAGTTGTATAACATTACATTTGAAATAAACACAAATTTCTTCCTTTAACAAAAAAAAGTAATCGGACAATAGTCTTGATCATGATGACTTACTTTATTAAATAATGATGCTATGTATTGGTATAGGGGTTGATTACTTATTGAAGCACCAGTACAACATATAGCTTGACTTAAGCTACTAACTATACTGGAGCCTGATAGAAAGCCTTCCCTTGGTTCATCAGGTACAACTATTATGACACTTGCTGCTTTACCTTTCCTTAAATAACATAACATCATTGATTCATAACTTAATAAATAGCTCACTTTAATTGAAAACAATCTTGAAAAGGAAAATTAGTTGGCTCTATGTTCAGCTCTATGAAAAAAAATATGGCATGAAGACTTCAATGATCTATTAACCCTTGGATTTCCGATTAAAACACTGAACTAGATTGTCTGGAAACTCCAAGATTTTATCTTTGGCTTAAAGGATAGATTTGATGTTTACTTTGTACAATTGCCAAAAATCACTTACTTTCCAGATGCTAACTTCTTTTTACTAGGAGAATCAACAGAAGGAGGAACTGCTGGTTGAGGTGATGGACTTTTATTTTCATCATTACTTGATGCTTCAGCATCTTTTTCAGCTTTCTTCTGACTGATAAAATCACTAGAAAAATCAAATATAATCTACAATTTATCAAAAAATATGGGTTACGTCTGAGGGTACAGGTAGATAAGGTGTACAAAATGACAACAATGTAGAGACAAAGACAGAATTCCACAATTCCTTTAGATTTTTTTCTATTCGAAAAACATTCAAATTTTATGGCTCTTGAACAAATTTATCAAGTTGCCTAAATGCAATTAATTTCAACCTAAAGAAATAGTATCATCTGCAGATATTAACAGATGTCAAAACATCTTAGCCAATTTAATTTGGCTATCCATTTCATCAGTCATATAATGTATAAATTATATAGTGTAGAAATAATTTGATGATTTGACGCAATTTCACAATATCAACTATGTATTAAATGAATGAATGAACCTAAAATTTAAACTATCAATTACAATTTATGACACCAAGTAAATCCACTAATAAATATATACTCTTTTTGGTGGCCAAATTTGAAAAGAAAATTTTTATTTAATTTCTAAGAGGTAGTATTCTGTTAATATTTTAAAGGCACATGGAAAACTCACTATAATAATTGATCAATTTCTTGTTGATGGCAAGGATCAAGTTCCTTTAATTTCTCACTAATTTCACTTTCTATTAATTCAATACCAGCTTCAATATCTTCTTTCCTTTCCTGTTCTTCTTTTTCTTTATCTTCAGTTTTACCATTATCTAATACATGAGGTTGTGGATTAGAGCTGACTACTGTAGCTAAACACTGTCAAAATAGTTTAACAACAAACTGAATTCAATATTTCCTTAGTTTATCATTGTCAAACTGAGTTTTATCTCATCCATTTTTCACCATTTGGGCTAACATCAAGAAAAGAAAAACCCAGGTAAAGAAAACAGCTTCACCGAGTCACTAAATATTCCAATCTAATTGCAATTATTTTGTTGATGGTTCAATTAAGTGGCTACTATTCTAACCTTTTCTATATTTTTAACAGTACAGTAGACTGATGTCTGTAATGAAGGTTGTCCTCTACTATCTAAAGCAGTCCTTGACTTTATCTATTCAAAACAAAAAACAACTTTTATCAGTGTTTTAAAAAGTTACAATTAAAATGTTTAATTTTTCAATGGTATTAAATAGAATGAATAACAGATAGAGAGAAATATGTAATGTGTTGGAAAAAAAAAATTTCCAGGTTTAGAACTGTCCATTAATCATAGCCTGTAGCACAAGGAGCCTCTCAGAGGTGTTTTATAAAAAATGATGTGATGTTTTAATTAAGTTTTAATGATAAATCCATTTGGGGCTTCTACAGCATTTATATCTTTACTTCTAGTGAACCTGTACCCCAAACTATAACTCAACACCATTTCTTTACCTTTGTAATAGAAGGTGTCTTTGCATATTTCTCAAAATAATTAGCCTGTAATGTAAGAAATATGTGAAATCTTCAAGTTACAAGATAACAATGTGTACAGGTAAATAATGTCCTTAAACTCTAACAACGATAGGCCGAAAGCAAATTCCATGATTCCTTTGGTAAGAAACTCTTAACTCATAAGCTATTAAGTGTAAGCTTGCACCATTTTATGTAAGATCTTTTTGGCCAAGATATCAAACAATCGAATTACATTAAAGAAAACTTTATGATTTCACTAGGTTCAGAAAAATAAAAATTCAAACAATAATTTATTTGAATTTTGAAGTCAAACAATAGCTGAGAACTACAGCTTACCAGATATCCATAAACATCATAAGGATTATCATAAAACATTGAATTCAATATCTCCTCCATTTTTATAGGAACACCATTTTCAGAATAATATTCCATAGCTTGTTGCTTAGTATCATAATAATCTTGTTTAGATTTCTCACTTTTCTTGTCATTTACAGCAGCCATCTTCCTATCTTTACTTAGATCACTGAAAAAGTTTCTAATAACTGATTCTCCATTATCTTGTTAGGCATTATGTTACACTGTTGCTTTTGAAAATGTCATCAGCTGTTTTTGTGTAAAAGTGAAATTGGAATTATACAATTTAAGCTTGAATATAAGTGCTATATTAGCAGTGCTCAGATGTTTCTGTAGAATATGAAAATATATTTCATTGAATTTATTGTGTGAAGCAGCCTAACAGGTAAACCTTATGCCATAGAAGCTGTTCAAAAAATACTAGAACAGTGGAACTGGAAGTTTAACCCCTTTGCCAATAATACATGAATTGAAATACCAACTTCAAAATCAAGAGTCCGTGGAGTGATGAAAAAGCCATCAGTTGAAAATATTATCTTTTTTGTTAGGAAATTATCATAGCCTAGCTAGAACTTAGAATCAAAATTTCACAAATTTCTTAGATAAAATTTTCAATTGAATGCAGGGCCCTATTTGAAAATAAATAATCAATAATAATTACAATTTTAGACTCTCAGTACTTTTTTGAAGTTAATATTGATTATTTTTCTGTAAACATCAGTACCTTTAGGCTTGTCCTATCGTAGTAGGCAGTATCAGGAAGTAGACCCAAATAGTTGAAATTGTAATATATTTAGTTTTAGTTAAAAACTCTTGTGCATGTAGTCGTCACGATTTTGCAACTCACTGTCGAAAATTTAATTGAAATTGAAATTAGATTTATTCACTATAAAATATATAAACAATGTAATATGTTAATTAGAATGGTTGACAATTAAACCGTTGTGGAACCTGTTTCGTACATATAAGGATTCAACACCGAATTTTTGTTGTTGTAAGTCTTGGATATTTCTTCAGATATTCTATAAAATAATTAGAATTTGTTTGTCTTGATTTTGTTTATGAAGCCCTTACCTTGACCCATATTTCAGAATTAACTAACACGGCTACAAAATGCGTCCAGATTATATCAAGCATTGGCTTGTTTTGATAAACATGGGTTATCGGTACAATGTCAGCTTGTAGAATGAATCCAGTAGTTTCAAGGAAGGTATATGTATCAATGTATACTTTGACATAAACAAAATGGCGGATTTCAGTTATTACCAAATATCATAATTTTTTTATCGGCTGAATTTCCTTATAATCCCAATGAACGAAAACATGTGATAAACTAGCAGATTACGTGTCAGCAGAAAAATGCTATGGAACACAATGTGGGCCATATCCTTACGTTGTTTCAATGACTTTTAGCAATAAATCACTCTTACGTTTTACTTATCTCATATTTTGTTAGTCACTATTTCTTTTTTAATCATTGTTCTTTGAAGGAATTGTCATTAGTTATAATGAAATATCATTAAAGATAAATACTAAGAGAAGTTAATTATAACACTGGGTATCTATACAACGTGTTTTTCTTGACTTATTTATAGATTAAACATTGTACGAAAATAGGTGACACATTTAGCAGCCACTGTCGAGTTGGTTGCCCATGAAATATGGTTCAAAGTGAAGGATTCATAAAGAAAATTGAAACAAACCAATTTTAATTATTTAATAGAATATCTGAGGAAACGCCTAAGACGTAACAAAATAAAAATTGCGTTTTTTAATTTTGACGAAGATGTTGAATCCTTATTACACAAATATAGGTTACACCACTGTATAGGTTACACCACTGTATATAGTGTTGAAACGGTTAATCAGTTAAACGATTTCGGGTGGTACTTCATGGGTAACCGGGTATGAGTTGACATAATCAGTTAATAAAACAGTTATAAAGGTCGTATTACTTTTTATAAAGTCTCCTTTAATTGACTGTTTGTTTCTTCTTGTCTGTCTATCAGCTTCAAGCTTATTAATACGGATTCATTGAGACAATAGTTTTATACCAGTTGTGGAACCAGTAAACTGATTCGCGTCGACTTCAATGAGATACACTCATTACACTGACCCCACAACTGGTATAAACACCTTTGATTTTAGAGACTGTAGCAATGAGTGACAATAGCGCCAGTCAATCTGAACTTTGTCAGGCCTGCTCGTAATCTTACATTGAAGGTTGTTTGGTATCTGTCGATTTGTACCGACTTAATTCTTGGGGAACTAGCCAAAATCTTCCTGGGTACTCATTTACACTTACTCTAGGTTAGTTAACTTTGCGTTACCGCCGCAAATGCAGTTTTTGACTCCTTTAATAATCTTTAGTGATTAACCGGGTACTATACATAAAATTATACAGTTAATAACTGAATAGCACATTGATTTATTTGCATAGCAGTCGAAAAACTTCAACTAGTTGCAAAAGTCAGTCACAATCTACTGGAGTCAGTCAGAATTTCATTTGACATTTGTCTACGGCGACTACGGGGTCTATGTCTATAAGAAAGGAAGTCTGTTTTTTTTTCTTTTAAAAAGCAACATTACCAAAAACAAATCATTTCTATGGATCTGGTGGAAGATATCTTCTTCGTTATACATACCTACGAGCCTAATGTTTAGAAGGAAATTTATTTCTACACAAACGAATGAACTTTGCTTTTTTCCTAGCAGGTTGTTTCCAATGACGCCATTCTTGTTGTTACGATTCAGAGTTGTGCCCCTTTAAGACTTTTCACCAACCGACAACAAATTAATTATTCAAGACACTTCGACCAAAAAAGCTGCCCACGCAGTCTGAAAGATACCTATAACTTTTAACTCGAACTAGCGTCTTTTAAGCTCAAATTGATAATTCAGTTATAGGCTTGTGTGAAGTTTCTCACAGATAAAAGATAAGATTGCAGTTCACCAAACCTCTAGTCCGAAACATCTGACTCTATCCCAATCTGATAGCTATTTTGACAGTGTTCTGTTGTCGGCAGGGGTAGAGTCAGAAAAACTAGGCCCTGCTTTATAAAATTTTCGATACCTCCAAAGGTGCCTTTTTTCCAACATATTAAACATTAGATAACATTTACGATCACTGTAAATTAGACATGGACATCTCTGTTTTTTATGGAGGGGAATTGTTGCCAGAAGTATTTACGAAGTCAAACTTGAAAACAAGGCCTCGACTTTACAAAGTCATATTTCAACATTACACAATTACAAAATAAACCTTCCTAAAATCAAAAAGTCACTGTACTAATTACAAAGTAGAGATATTGATAGTTTACTTTTCAAACTTTATTTCACATCAGACACCATTCAAACTTTCCTTTACGAAAATGAATTCTTAACTTCGCATTATTGACATTATCAACTATGTCTTC